TTACTGTCGCTGAGTTTTGTGCTCGATGGATTGTTTACAACTCCCGTGTATTCGCGTAGAAGAAGCCGTTTCGTGAACTCTGCTTTTTCTAACAAGAAAATGTTGGCTCAAAATCGAAGTTTATTTATGACCAACAAATTTAAAAGGAAATTCTACGTTTCAAGTAAACAGGAAAAAGAATGATACAGGAAGACGACGTCTTACCTCGAGCAACCGAGCCGCCATTTTTGTCAGCACTTCATTGGAAGAACGACAAAACAAACCGTTTTGGCTATAGACTTTTTTAGTCAACAGAAAACAACAAAGCTCTACTTTTCTTCTTAGGTAAGGAAACAGTTCAAACTTTTAGCAGTTCCATTTAAGCCATTACGCAGTTGTTTGCGAAATGATAAACTTGTGAATTGCTATGTTTAAAAATTCTGCAAAGATCTATTTTTAAACTTACGCGTGATTTGATCTGTCATTTTATGGTTTCCTCTCTGATTTTGTTGAGATCACTTCGTGTGTATATACTAAAACAATTATTCTTTTCAATCTCGGGGAATAGTGACTTTGGGAATATTTACCTGGCCGCTTTCGCGGCTCGGTAAACATTGGCCACTATTCACCTCGATTTCAAAGAATAATTGTTAAATGTTTTATCTTTATCCATGGTACAGTATGTTTTGCGTATTCCTGCATTCAGTTTAAGCAGAAACTCATAAGTCTGGAAGTTCAGAAGAAGTTCAGCTACTTTGTCTTTGAATAGCCGTGAAAACAATTTTTATACACTATTTTAACTCCCTGAAAATTACAGACCAAATTCGAGTTCTATAATGGTCAGGGGCACCCAACGGGAAATTTTGAGAAAAAGACGTAAAAACAACAAAAAAGCGTGAATAAATTTTTCTGAGACTATTTTAAGCATTTTGGGAGATTGCTGGAAAAAAATTATCTGTTCCTCACTCCCAGCAAGACTGATGGAAGAGTTCCCAGCCAGCAACCTTACAACCTGCAACCTGACTTACTGGGAAGTTTCATAGGGCACAATTCAGATCTTGAGTGGTAAGCAACCCATACAAGTAACCTGTAGCAGCTATTCTAGACTTCAAATCTGACACCCTGAATTATCTTTTTCCCAGCAACACTTTCCTTCCAAGGACTATTATTTCTTCCACATCTCCCAGCCAGCAAAAATTTGCATGAAGAACAGATATTTTGAGGAACAGATCCATTGGCTGCCCCTGAATGGTGTATGTTCTGGTTGGTCATTGGTGAGGTGGCTGATAAAATTAAATCTGAGGCAACGTAAAATGAACGACCTTTGAGTATTTCCATGAACATAGTCTGCGGAAAGACGGCTTTGTGAAGGTTAGAGATGTTAAATTTGACGATGCTCATGTCCTGTTTCATTTCTTTAGTATTTTGGTCAAATAAAAGGCGACTCGCTTTACGGAAACCCCGTTAACATGGACACTTTTCGTGGTCCCTTCGGTTTCCGTAACCGTATTTTGGCTGGCATCTATTAGGGTTCTCCGTTTTAGTGTAAATCCCTTTTGTTCGGAAATATGTTTTCTGTCATTTTCAAAAGTTCCTAGTTTAACGCCTCTATGACGCTTACTCGAATAAAGCCAGCATGTGCATTTCTTTCAAACCGTCGAAAGCATTTTATTAAAAGATTTATAGCGTAAGATGTACATTTGATGTAAAATCATCAGAGGTCTAGCGAATTTAAGACGTTAGAAAAATATAAAGTTTAACATCACTGGAATGCTGATTTCAGCAACAAAAAAAGGAGACAAAGCTATCATCTCACTAAAAACCGTTTGTCCATAACGCACTGGTCGATCGTGCTAGCCTGAGTAGCAGGCGCTTGGAAGTAGCGGGCACAAGAAAAAACGGGTGCGCGAGAAGGAGACACGCGTGTCTTCCTCGCGCGCGCCCGTTCTCTCTTTCGCCCACTACTTCAAAGCGCCTGCTACGCAGGCTACGATCGTGCGAAACAACTGAAACGAAGTTCTTGCTTTGGTTTGCTTTCATTGTTACCCGCGTCAGCTGTGCGCCTTTATTGTTTTCATGAAAATGACAGAAAGGTATATTCCATTTCCAATAAATCGGAAAACAAGAGCTTATGGAAAATCAGTTAAGAGAACACCTGGACCAATGTTTTGGAACAATGATAAATAGGCACGTGGGAGGTGTCTATTCACTCAAAGGGTAACTGGCATAGAAAAATATGAAAAATGAGCGCGAGCGAGCCACAATCTGGGTAATATGTGCTCAGAACTACTATACAAAGGAAGACGCAAATTTATAATCTAAACATTTGTAGCCTGCGAGCAAGCTCTGCAGCACCCCGGAGAGCTTGCTAGTATGCTAGAACAACATTTCAGTCTGCTTGAAAAAAACTGAGACTACAGATAATTCATTAACGTGCTCTGAAGAGAAACTTTGAAAATAATTTTGACTGAGTTATTGAGTAGTTGTAGGACGGAAATATTAGCCGTGTGCGTGAAAACGAAGAGAGCTCCCTTCCATGCAAATTTTTTTGGCAAAAGAATAAGAGGATTTAAGAGTGGTATTTGGACTGGTTGAACTTGCCGACAAAGCAAATAGGAACTGTATGGGATTGAAATCGGAAAATGAACTTGATGGCAAAAAATAAACAGCACACGTACTTCAATTTAAAATCATTGATATCGATCTAATTAAATTTAAGGTCATTAACTTTAGAAGACTTAATTATTTGGTTATTCCTTAAAATAGATTTAGATCAATTCGGTAGCCCACTCTGAAAGTAAAATACTTTCCCAAGAACAAGATGATTAACAAGTCGGAATTTTTAGTAGCATGGGACAAGCCAAACTAATCACTAGCTTTAATCTGTTGATTACAGGGAGACCGTGCGTCAGAATCGATGGTGGATTAGTTATCACGCTCTTACCAAAAACGAAAACGTTCTTGAAGTTCGCATGACTGTGGCCCTGAGTTTCACATTGACGGTTTATAAGATGAAAGGGTAATTTAGTTAACCTGTAACCCTTTCTATATAACTAAGACGGTAGTTTTAAGGAATCTAATTATCTTATCTGTTCAAGAAGAAAAAATATGAATCAGATTCAAGCGGTACAAACAGACGAACTTTGTGTTTTAATATAAAACCTTATCGCTTTCCACATACATTTGTATGTGTTTTTTTCTCAGGAAAAATTAAAGAGAGATTAAGAGAAGATTATTGAGAAACGCTAACGGGCAAAATCTAGCGGTCACACGTCCCTTTAATATGGCTGTAAAATCTTCTCCACCGCTACCTAAAGTTTACAACTCCTAACTTTTTCATAAACGGCGTTTCACGAGGTATATTTCGACATCGATCGTTTGCGTTTCCGACAAGATGGCGTCGAAAATCGTGATAAGGTCTGTTAATTAAGTTTAAGGAAGTAATTTTTGGGAGGTTTTGAGCTTTGCCTTAATTGGGACTATTATTGAGAGGCTTATTAGCAAGAGTAATTTCAGATGATTTTTATTATGCTCTTTTATTATGAAAGTTCCGCCTTGCCTTTTTTATTTACTTTAAAAATTGAAAAAAATCAATTTCTTTTTCAGTTAAGTCATGCAAGATAGAGAAAGCTTTTATCGATTCTATTGAAGCACGTTGGACGTTAACTGATATTAACGTAGTTTATTTGAAAAATAATCGCTGAATAAGAGTACTGTTTTTCGTTTTGAGTAGATACCTCTTTCATTCGCTTGCGTCTTTCCACTACTAGAAGACTTTTTAGATTAATTGTTGTGGTTGTTCCTTTTATTCTGGCCGGATATATGATCGGACAAACTCTTTTAAAAGAATGCATAGAACGGTTGCATTTAATTCATCTTTATCTTATTCTTTCTATTTTAATTTGCCGTATATTACTAATTTTTGATTAGAGAATATTTTTAGAAATTTTCAAAGCAACATTTAATTGGCATGGCTGGTTAATTTATACCGTTTGTCCGTATTTACCTTTCTTATCTTTTTTCTAGTAATTCAATTAAATTGAAAATGATTCTAAGTTGAAATCGAAACGTAATGAATTATGTTCCTAGTGGGAAACTAGACTCTGTCAGGATTACGAAGCAGCGTTTGCAACTCTTTTCACGGCAAAATTATTTATGTTACATAACCACAGCTGCAAATTACAAGGCTTTAATATTTTTCGCACTGAAAAGATTGTTTTAGTTTTTCCAAGTAAATCAGTTTTATGTTTGAACTGAATGACGTGTTCCTGGCATCCTTGGGACGTCATTGCTAAATTATTTCTTTATTCTGACTTTTTGAAGTGCAGTACTTTTATCTTTGTTAAAATTAATTTCTTTTAAAAAAATCTTAATTAGTTTGTGCAGTTACAAGGTTCTTTACATCTGTGGCAGATTCATCACGTGACCGACAGGTGCGAAAAGGTTTGCATGCTCACTAACAGCAAAGAAAATTTTCCAATCCACTTACAGCGGCCTTTTTATCTACATGCTTTGCCGCTCCCTGAGACCTAATCGAAAATTAGGAAATTCAATGTGGAAATCCACATGGTCGTTTGCTAATGGCAATGGCCTGCTGTATGTAAATTTCAGTTCAGCCAAGTTTTCAAAATATCCGTCTGAAAAACGGAGTGAATAGTGTTAAGCTATTTTTGTCTGATTGGATTTGGACCGTTTTGCATCTTTTTATTTTCTCTAGCAGACGTTTTCTTTCAATTCAAACGTAAGTAAACCTAATCAGTTACTGTAATGAATTTTAATTTCAAAAACATCAGGGAAGTGTATAAAGTGGCAACCATCCAAACGAAGCGCGCTGGTGGAATATTACAGTTTGGCCATCTGGGTTTTCGGTTTTTATGTTAGGAGAGAATCACAAGGAAGTATTCTATTACCGTTGAAATCTTCGACAGAAAACCGCCTCAAAACAAATACTTTTGAATAAGAGGTTCTTGGAAAAAGGTGAATTTACTGGAGTTATTCTTCAAAATTTCAATTCCGCAGTGATGACGGGAGCCTACGAGGGGATACAGATTGCAAACTGCGCTATTAACGTGCTGTTATCGTATACAGCCATCACACTCAACACAATAACAATACTGGCCTTGAGAAAAACTTCATTATCAAGTCCTTTGAAGACACTGCTCCTAAGTCTAGCTGTCTCAGATCTCGGCGTTGGTTTGTTGGTCCAACCTCTGTACGTAGCCTCTTTTGTCATGGAGAGCGAAGGAAACTCTTCTGCAAGTTATAATTTCGTAATAAAATCGTACGACATGATTGTGGTATTTCTCTGTGTCGCTTCTTTCCTTGGTGTTACGGCTCTGAGCGTTGACAGGTTCTTGGCCATTCATCTACATCTTAGATACCAGGCAATCGTAACACACAAGCGAGTCGTCGCTTCCGTGGTCTCCATTTGGGTCTTAAGTGCAGTTATTTCACAAACTGCTCTTCGCATCCGTCAAGTTACCTTTCTCATGTTCGGTACAATTTCAGTCATTTGCCTGATTTCCTCGGCATTTTTTTACTACAAAATATACGTTACTGTGCAACGCCATGCAAATCAAATTCAAGTTCTGCAACTACAACCACGGCAAGGAGACAACGAAATGGTTGAATATAACGCCAGACTTAAAAAGGCTGCCATTGGAACATTCTACGTTTACCTTGTGTTTTTAATATGTAATTTACCAAACACATTGTTTTTTTTGATACCAAGTAATCTAGTTCACCAAAGTGCTGACTTAGGGACAATTCTGTCACTTGCAGATACTCTAGTTTTTCTCAATTCATCTCTCAACCCACTGATATATTGTTGGAAGATGAGACACATTAGACAGGCCATCATGGAGATGCTGCGAAAGATTTATTTGGGACCCCAACACTCATATAATTAACTAGCAGGCTGGATTATTATTTTTCATATCCTGCCCGTTTTAGTTTTGCTTTTCTGTAATTTTCTTTTTTGTTTTTTGTTTTGTTATTTTTGTTATTTTCGGGGACTTGATGCGCTTCTTAACAGAAAAGATAAAAACCGTCAAACTGACTTAAATTTTGTCACATGTACAGTTGAACCTCAACATAGAGAGAAAGACGCAGAATTTGTTCGCTATATCGGTTTCGTTATCATTGATCGAGGTTCTTTTTCATACATTTTACTGTAACTGGGGTATGGACTGAAAATCGTTCGTTTTACCGCGAACTTCTTTATATATTATTATAGAAGTTCGTAATATCGAGGTTCCACTGTACCGAATAATGTTAATGGATATAAGTACATTGTTCAGGCGTACTAAGTCAAATCAGTGAAGTATTCTCAAACCTAAAACGGGCATTATATGTTATTTTTCGTCATTTTTGAGGTTATTCTAAGGATAACTTTTTAAATACACATTTAAACTTGAACCAGTCGATTTTTCAATCCCGATATCGCGAACAGACGAAAACACTACGTCAGGACTCAGTTTTCCGCCTTCAAGTTTACCTACGCATCGACTGTCTTCCGAAAATATATGTTCGAAAGAGTAAACATTGCCCAGAAATTTCTATCACTCCTGGAAAACTAAAAATGACTACATGACTGTTCTATTCATCTGTTTTTCAAATTTTATTCCCCAAAAAAGGATGTTACTCGTAAGAAAGGACTCCTGAATTTTTTGGAAAAATAGCGCGGAAGAAGGAGTAAGAAAATCTCACATTTTCGTGAACGTAAAGATAACATCCGGCAGCCTTTTCGTGAAAAAAATAAATAAATAAGAAAGCCCTAAATATCAAATGCTTTAGTTGCCCTAGGACTGTACCAAAAAATAATGATTTTATAGAACACTTTAGAATACATTGCTGAGCTTTAAAAGCAATCTTGATAGCCTAAAGCAGGTTTTTAATGTATTTTGGAGAAAGCTGTTTTGGCCGCCCCTGTTCCTATTGCGTTGCATGAAAGCATACTGTTTTGAAATATAAAATCGCAATAACAACTGTCAGAAGCCCATGACTAGTCATGGACTTTTCCAAGAGTCAAGGTAAACTATTTACATCTTAAAAGGGATTTTAGGCATTTTCTTTTAGGTATTCTAGCGTAATAGGATCTAGTATATGAATTTTAAACTATGTATAAATATACGTAAAAACAAAGCAGGTGTTAAAAGGTATAATTAAACTGTGCGTGCTACGACGCGTTTTGTTTTGTTTTGTACTGATTTGATTTGTCGTATTCACATCATATTATCGCTTAAAGCAATCTGTTTTAGTTTGGCGTCAGTTTAGGTCCGGCGTTCTAGCATTATTATTTTTCTGCCGCACAGTTAACAATATAAAATAGTTAATTGACCTACTGTAACATAATTGCTGAGCTTTGACAAACAAGAATTACACACCCAACTTTTTGTGGCCAAATAAAAGTCCGCCCACATATTCTATACTTTGGACAGTGGTATTACAAAGTAGGGTTAATATATTGATTAAGCCAAGGCCAAAAGCATAGCTTTTATGGGGTCTTTTAAGAAATGTCTTTCTGCAGTTATTCAACTTTTTGCCACACGCAAGCCAAGAATTTTGTTACAAAGCTCTTCTACCGTGCTATTTGACCCATTCAAACATTTTATAGAGCGGAATATTTTATTTCAAGCAGTTTTGTAAATATTGCAATGCAATGAAAGCCGAAACAAGTAATTTCCAAAGTTATTCCATTTGTTCCCATTCCGGAATACGGTCAATCGAACACTCCAGCGGACTCCAAGCTGGTAGGTGTGACATTTCACATACGTTAACGTGTGTACAAGGCCTAAATGTAACCATGGCCAATTCCTAAATGTAATAAACTCTTAAGTTGCAAATTACAGTGATTACTCAATAAGCGCCGCATTTGGGGAAATTTAATAAGCGCCGCGGCGCTTATTCGCGTAAATACGGTACTAAGGGGTATTACTACATGGTTTTAAGCGCCGCCCTCAAATAAGCGCCGCATTTTTGGAGAAAAAAATTTATAAGCTTCGGTACATTTCCTTATGCAATGTGTAACTTGACGTTTACAAACAAATTGCCTGTAAAGGGACAAAATAAAAAAACTTGTAAGCCGTAAAAATGTTTTCATTCTTCATTTTTGTTAAAGAAATGTACTCCAAAAACCGTCCACGAAGATCCTGTTGCTTGTCAACGTTGGATCTCTAGAAAAGATATCTAATCAGCTAGGATATTAAGAAAAAAAAACGAGAAGTCTATCTGCACAGCTGATAACAACGTTTATAAATAACTAAGATAGTACGCGCGCGCTCTGATTGGCCGAGAGATGTGTCTGCATGAGAGTATGATTGTAAACATGTGCGGAGTCAAGATGTTTTGCTTTTCGCGCGCTAATCACACAAGCACGAATTTAAAAATATTTTTGAGTTGAAAACTCGACAAATTTACTTTATTTACCCACTCCCTCGTCGGATGAAACTTGGAAAATCTTTACAAACATGCTGTGCCAATTTTTTTTCGCTTAAGCTGACATTTTAAGCCAGAAAAACCGTTTTTTGGAAAGCATCTTTATTGCAAAACAAGAACTGATTACACGTACATTAAGCGTCGTGTACAAGACTTCGCGACTGATAAGAATTTGTCTTTTATTCAGTAACCTAAACAAAGAGTTTTTCTTTTTTCTCGGGAAAGTTATTTTATAAAAGCAATAGAAAACTTTTTTCCTGTGTTTGCACAGCCTGATATTAACACTCGAAGAGTTGGGAGAATTCTTGACAGTTATGCAAACCCGAGATGAAGTTGTGGGTTTGCTTAACTGTCAAGATTTCTCCCAACCCCTCGAGTGTTTATATCAGGCTATGCAAAAAAAGGATAAACGTTTTCTATTGCTTTCATAAATTAACTTTCCCAAGTCTTGCAGGCGTAATCAGTTCGACTTCGACTTCGTCTCGGGTTTGCATAACTGTCTCGAATTCTCCGAACCCCTCGAGTGTTTATATCAGGTTATGCAAACACAGGAAAAAAGTTTTCCAGTTGCTGAAATATTGCTTTTTTAGAAAAATACTGTTACTTTGTCGTTTATAAGCTCAATTTATTTGTAAACGTTAAGTTTCACAGTGCGTAAGGAAATGTACCCAATTTACGCGAATTAGTGCCGCGGTGCTTATTAATTTTTTCTCCAAAAATGCGGCGCTAATTTGAGAGCGGTGCTTAATACCATAGTAAAACCGCTTAGTACCGTATTTACTGGAATAAGCGCCGCGGCGCTAATTACCACCCTAATGCGGCGCTTATTTGAGGGCGGCACTTATTCGAGTAATTACTGTAATTGGCAACTTAAGAGTTTATTACATTTAGGGCAAATTGTTATTACATTTAGGACTTTATTACATTTAGGACAAAGTGTTATTTCATTTAGGACTTTCTTACATTATTGCATGATAAGGTCATTTGACTAGAGACCTTCCAACTCTCACGGTTTGACCGTGAGACGCAAAGTTTGGGCTTTCAACTCACGATCTCACGATTTAGCCTTCCAATCTCACGTTGAATCAGAAAACCATGGAATTGCCAGACAATTCTGGTAGAAATTGCCTAATTTCAAAAAACTTGTCTTCATAATAGGCCAATTACCGTGTGGCACGAAATTTTGGGGGGAGTTTGTTTTTTGCCGATTGGCGATTTTCTGTGTTTTGGAGGAACTAATTTTGGCGATTGGTACTTACAGATTGGTTTTTCCTGCTGGGAATTAATTTTTGCGATTTTTTAGAAAGTACCCAGTACTGGCCAGCATTGATAGTATTTTCGTTGTTATTAAGTACGTGCAACTAGAAGGCATATTTTCGAGCTATAAACCAGTATTTCATTGTTTCTGAATGAAAGAGTCAAGTTGTGATTGAACAGACACGATTTCTTAGTACTGTGTTTTTGCGTAGCGAATTTAAGTTAGAGAATATTTACTCTGGAGTAAATTTTTGCGGGAAAAATGTTTGCGGTAGTTTTTATTTGCGGGAACTTATTTTCGCGGATCACTGGAAAAACCGCAAACATCGCAAAAAATTAGTACTTGCAAAAAAATTCGTGCCTCACGGTATATCAATCTAATTTTGGGGGGAAACCTGGGTCCAATTCCAACCTCATTCCCGTGAAACATTGTGAAACATAGGTTAGCTAAGCCTTACAGCAAACTCAAAAGGCTTCTCACAGTGCTATCGACATGGATAGTGAAATAGAATCTAAAAAATGGTGTCGGAGACTTTAAAACCTCAGCTTTCAAATTTAAAAAGTCGGCGGCTGGGGCAGCCAAATATCGTACAACATTTAAACTAGGGTGGAGTAAATAATATCACGTAATAGGGTAAAGAATACTACGACAAAAATATTCTGCCTTTTTTGGATTTATTTGACAGGTATTTTGTAAATCTTCAGGTTTGAGGTCCCAGTCTCCAGGTTTTTGGGGACTTTTTTTTTAAACACTTCAGATTTGCATGGTTTAGGGTTGGAAGGTCTACAACTAACAGAATCCATCAGTTTGTTAGCGGGATTGACAAATTTGAACAGGAAAGCAAAAACGAAATGAATTGTGGTAGTTGCATTCAAATGTCGTCATCGTGAAAGTTGCTAATAAATTGTCACCACCAAAATTTCTTGGATGCATAGATAACCAAATCTTATTATCCATGGTGCTTCGCTGCGTTCAAAGCATTCGCAACCGTCTTCCCAACCTTTTACCCAGACTCCTCAGCCATGAAGGGCGTTAAAGTCTGCGAAAAAATAAAAGATTTCCTGTGGAAGGAGACATGCTATAGTGTCCGCATCATCCTGATAGGTCATTTGCTGTTTCACCTTCCGGACTCGAAACCAGGCCACATTATTCTTTCTCCTCTAGTCTTAAAATTCGTGAGTGTTTTTGTGGCAGTGTTTGAGGCCTTTTGAAAAACAATACAAGACATGGTACTTGTTGACCAATCAAGCGTAAGATCAAGATGGCTGGACATTGGCCAAGTTCTATATTCGCGTATGTATGGACCGAAACAAAGTGGACGGGTCCATAAAAAACATTTCTAAAAATTGGAAGAGACCAATATTGGCTTTGCAAAGGTTGTGGTACATGATGTCCTTACGTCGCAAGTAACAAAGCTAATCAAGGTGGGCCAGAAAAAGAAAATGCTGACATTTTTTTTCCTTTTTTTCCTATCATTTATTGCTGTATATTTGAAATTCTCCGGGGATTAAACTATTACTTAAGTGTCCAAGTGTAGATATATTTAAAATTCTACAAACAGAATAATGCAATGCTGATCGTACTACGTGAAAATTAACTTTGTTAATGATCAACACGACACCGAAAGAACTCAAAACAGGGCAGCGGGGTTGTAGTCATAGACAGCCGTTTCGCTGTTACTGTAGCGCATCAGTATGGCGTAACAGACAGAGAAAGGAGCTCTGCTGGAGAATAACCCGTACACTCTAGTGATTTAAGTCCTAACCTAGAACTCCCAACACCCGCAGAATCACGCCAGATCACGTGTATCCTGGAGGGCAAGAGTTCAAGTGTCAAGTTGATGTCTGGCAAAGAAAATGTTTAGGATTGGCCAAAACCACAGGCAGCCCAAGCGCACTATGTTTGGGTTCGGGCTTCAGATCGATTCAGAGGTCATTTGGTCGGAATATATCATCATTAAGATCATTTAAAAAGCATGCAAAGGCAGAATTAATGAAGAAATAGGATACCGGTATACATACCATAGTATATTATTACATTGTTAGTTTTTATTAGAAGTAGTAATTTTAAGTTGTTATTTATATATCAAGAACATGTATATCATTAGTCTTAGTTGTATTATACATACATATTGTAAATTAATTCTGAAAAGCCCCTCGGGGATAATTAATGAAAAAGTATTATATTGTAATATACCAGAATTATTAGTGTATTATCTGATGCCAAATAAATGCAAAAATCTTAAAGATATGAAGTCTTCTTGTTTGTCTATCTATAATAGTAGCCTTTAAGATAACGAAGGTCGATATTTCTTGCGTTATTACATGCGATTCGGCCCCATCATCAGAGCGCACACCGATCAATGCAAACATATACGGCCTACTAGTGTCGAGATTGTTTTTCTTCAATTTCGAAGCATTTAAGAGTCTGTTAACAGTGAGTTTTCAAGTCATGTTTATAATTAGAGATGTGTCCCATTCACATCAACTTAACATGTCTAATTTAAACAAGCTTTTAAAAATGAAAAACAGACATGGAGAACTGGCCATGGGACACGGCCTTTTACGAAGAATCTAAATGAACTTCAACATGTTAAACATAATTTGCACTACATTTGTGGTCAACTTAAGTCAATAAGCAGCTTTATGAGGGAAGTAATCTTAACCTGTTAACTAACCAACTTTTAAACATATTTAAGCTTGGTGTGAATGGGACATTAAAAGTCGACTTACTCAACTTCCATTGCATGGCAAAAAGCATTTATCAAAGCTTCTTTGTTAAGTAGATCCGTCGTTTTTACTAGACTAGACTCTCAGGCACTAAGGGTTTTATATGAAGCAATTGCAAAAAAATTTACATCCATAATCGCTTTTTAACTTTGAATATTTGTTTTCTTTGGAAGAGGCTTTATAACATCTTTGTTAGTTAGACATCCTTCGTTTTCGCGGGCGCTTTCCTGGTACTAAGAAGTCAGCGTCCTTGTAGTATTCCAAGACATTAGGGACTAACTGGTTGTCATCAGCGACTTTATAGTTGTCGCGGTGGAAGACTTCTGGGTTATCGTATGGGGCTCTATGGTTGCCGAAGGGGGCTTTTGGCTTGTTGTTGTTGACCCTAAAGTTGTCGTATGACAATCTATAGTTGTCCAAGCCGTATCTGTAATAAATCTCGGGAACTATTCGATTGTCGTAAGTATCGTACTTTTTCTGGGGCAGTGTTTGGTCCTTGTAGTCTTCTCTGTTGTTATCATACTGCACGCTTTGGCTGTCGTGGTCGTCCGAGGTAACTTGATACTTGTCCAGGAGAATTCTTTGTGGTTCTCTCTTCCTACCGTTACCATGACGACCGTGGCGGATTGCCCAGCCATCGCATCGAGTAAAGAACATAAGAAGCACTGTCAATGTCATTAAGGCAAAACCCCACTTTGCCGTTGCCATTCTGAAACAAAAAGCCAAAATACAGTAAAATAAAATGCCTCATTTCCCCCGTCATAAAAATTGCTGAGTAACAGTTCCATTCGTCTAAGATATTCGGAGTTTTCCGATGAACTTGGATTTTTCACATTTGATTTCCAAGATTTGAAAGGTTATTGACAAAAAAAGTCACGTGAAAATTTCGGTACAAAGAAGAATCATCCCCTAGCAAGAGCCCTAGCTCTTGTCCCCTAGCTATAATTTTGTAATGAAAGAACAGATCCCAGATCTCCCACGGCCAAGTGTAAAACAGAGTGAGATCTGGGTACGAGATTAGAAAGAACATGCATTGTTACTTCGAGTGGACCCTCGCAGTTTCGACAAGACCCGTCGGGATAGCTAAAACCTTAAGTCGAGACGGCCAAAGTTCCCCTAAAACATACAGATAAAAATAGTTTTCATGGCATGCTGGCTCTAAATTAACCAGACGGGCTTCTGAAGCATAGAGAAAACCACTTTTGACATTAATTCTGACTTGTTTGGAAAGATTCGGTCGTTGGCTGCCCCTGTATAGTTATCTATCTATAGTTACATTACGGATTCAAATTTTGAGCTAGACTCAATCAAGGCCGTGGGTAGAGTTAAACAACGCCCGAGGGTGGCACTTACCAAGTGTAGATATATGTGGAGAAAAGAACAAACAAAAGTGTTGGTTTGAAAAAAAAGTGTATGCCACTGGATGATAAAAATGCAAATAAAAAGAATTGTCATAGGTTCGTTTCGAGTCGTCTGTATTATTGTCTAAATAAAAGCCATTCTAAAAGAGAAGCCTGCGTGAGAGGTGCTAAAAATTGATAGGCGCAAGAAACACTGAACTGGCGCGCGCGAGGGTCACACGCGTGCCTCCTTCGCGCGTCCGTTCACAAGCGCCTGCTACGCAGGCTATAAAAGTGTGACGCGCAATCCCGGACTTTATGAAAGTGTTTTTAAGCGTCTTAATTTCCCTTTAGAAATTTCCCTTAGAAAAAATTTAGGGTGGATTTATTTGAGGCATACGTGTATAGCGGTCGCATTTGACCGATAAAATTTTTTATTATATTTTTAGCTTTATATGAAAAAAACCAACGGGCTTGTGTCACGGTTTTACGTATATATCCACCATGATCCAGCCGTTGTGTCGGTTACTGTGGCTACGAGATGATTTGCAACCACCCTAATAACTGACTGTGTTGTGACGGCAATGCCGTCATAACCCACTTTAAAAGCAAACTCTCCAGCTTATAGCACATAAACAGTTGAATTAAGAAGAGACAAAAAAACATTTGAAAGAGTACCGAAAGCAGCAAAAAGTTTACTTCATCTATCCTAGGCCTTTCTACCCTTAACGTTTTGGATGGTATATGCTAAACTCAAATGTGAATGGTCAGAGGTGGCGGCCATTTCAAATGACGTTACAGCCCCAAATCCCCACCCCCCACCCCAAGCGGCACCATATCCCATAATATTTTTATAATCGCTGGCTTTATATTTTAAATCATGTTAACGGTTTATCATGTGAGAGACGAGGGGCAGACTGTTTGCAGTCCGCCTTTTCTCTTAGATCTGCCGAGTTGTCAGACAGTGAGCGCGTAGGGTTCAGTCAAGGGCGTAGCCAGCCTATAGACCTGTAGGCCAGGGCCTACAAATTTTTGGATGATCACTCTACCCCTTGTAACCAATTATGCATTGTTGGGGTGACCTAAAAAGCTTAAGAGGTCAAATTGTTGGTAAGGTCAGTGCGTACTAGTCATGAGTGCAATTTTCAGTTCATGTGGAAATGAAAGTCAAAAAAGGCCTATAATTAGTCGAAAAGCTGGCTACGCCCCTACCAGTGACTTTGAAGAAAATAAGAGACTGCTCACAGTGTAGGTAAGGAGAGGTTTTCCCTCATCCATCGCCCTGTGCCACGTTAGGGTTGTCAATTTTGGTGTCCATCCGTGGGTTTAGAGGAGTTTCTGTGATTTTTCTTGATGTCATAATAAATTATAGAAGTCGAATGCAATCTCGGGCCTGCGCGCAGGCCATGCGAAAACTACGGCAGTTCATCATTATATTGGAACCCTCTCCTAAGTTACCTTATTACATGAAGTTTTCGCGACACGTTAATTTTGCGAATTTTGCGATCCAAAAAAAATCACGAAATTAAAGTGACGCGAACAATAAGTGTCGCGAACATAACATGGCGCGAAAATTAAGTGACTTACATGATATCCATAATAAAGAAAGAACGAGTTCATTAGCACTGAAACGTTTAGAAAAATCACATTTTTTACTTTCTGAGGAATTTTCAGTGTAAATGGATGTTGTGGTCAATTAACTAAAGAATAATAATTCACGTACAAACATGAACTGCTTGTGGACGTTGTGAGAACTGCTTTGTTGTTACTGTTGACATTTAGTCCTGCTGTTGCGTTTTTCTCAGTTTTGACGTTATTTTTCCTTTGATAAAGGCGTTCTATTTAATTCAAAGACATGTTAAATAACATTGCCTATGAAATGTAAATTGCTGTACTCAAAAATACCAAATTAAAATGATTCAAAATATAAAATTTTCACATGATCGCGAAATATGCGCACATGCAAATCGCGAAATAAACATGTCGCGAAAATTTTGTATGTAATAAGGTAGCCTGTGTACAGACGACCCCCCTTCCCTCATAAAGTTTTTCCTGAGGGGAGAGGGGCGTCTGTACACCGGCTATCCCTTTGTAAACATTAAAGGGAACCTCCACTCTTACTACAGAATAAGTTTAAATCGAATAAAATTATGTTGATAAACAAATTTGTTCGAAATTTGTCCTTAAAAAAAGTGTTTATATCAGGAAAAGTGAATTTTAAAATCGCTTATTTTCACTTTCAAATTTCGCGGGCGCCGCCATCTTGAATAATTGTGACGTGTTACGGTTGCTCTATTGTTCTGACACAAAGAGCTTTTGTTTAATAACAATAGGGCAACCATAACACGTCACAATTATTCAAGATGGCGACGCCCGCAAAATTTGAAAACAAAAATAGGCGAATCTAAAAGTTATTTCTTTCGGATACAAACGCTTTCTTTAAAAATATTTTAGATTGACTTGACTGTAACAGTTATTTCCTGTGATTTAAAGTTATCTTTTTGTTGAAGTGGAGGTTCCCTTTAACACTTACTTTTCAGTTAGGGCAAAATTGTGACTCAGCGGAGGGGTAGGTGGTCAGTTATATTACCCACAAACCTCAATAGAGAGGAGAAGTGTGACGTTAGGTTACCATGGTACCAAAATTTCTGGATCACAACAACGGGGAGCTTAAGCAACGACGACGGCGACGGCAGCGAGAACGGCAAAAAAGCATTAAGTTTAGATTAGCAAAACAATATTTTTGCACGTGCATCAGGCATTTTTTGTACATTTCTTAGCCGTCGTTGCACGACCACGACATGAAACTTCTGATTTCACGCGCCCTCTTTATGGAGTAGATGAACACAACACAAAATTTTCTTTTTCTTTTCCTAAACTTAGATACGATCCTTTAGAATTCAACCCCAGAAAATTTCGCCAACATTTGACAAATTAAATGAAGTTGAATGAGATCGATGAATTTTGAAACGGTGAGAATTCACTTTTTTAAGTGACGTTTTTGGTTTGTTGTCATCCAAACATTTTACTACCATGGCAACGTGACGTAACGACTTTATGGTTGTTTGTTCACAACGGCTTCCGTTTTATGTCTCGGTAAGAGTTACAACAGACAGATTAAGGCCCTAAAACAACAATTCTCTAATCACGATCTGATTTATTTCATTATGCTGTAAACTGTTTCAGTCTTTTATCATAGAGAAAGTTCTACGGATAACTAAACATAAAACAAGATAGAAGTGAAATGAAAGAAATGTTCTTAGAATTTTTGCCGGTCACCTTGCCTCCCCCCGGTTTCACTCAAATGGGTTGGGTCAAGTAACTTCATAAAAATTTTTCGGTTACGAATTCCTGTTGATCCTGTCGGACACTCATGTTTTTGGTAGTAATTTCACACAAAAATATGTAATTAGTCTCAACAATATTGAATTAGCTATCGCAGACGTTACTCTAGCTTGAAATCACAGCCGACATTTTGCGACGCCACCTTTGTCCAGTAAGAGGGTATCGATGTCAGCCGTCAAACGGCCTAAAATTTATCCGTCAGGGGCACCCAACGAGAATATAGTTCAAAACCACTTAAACATAGTTTGTTAAACGTATTTTAGTATTTAAACGGTAGATATAGGCATATTTTTATCCCCTAAAATTTTTCATCTGTTCGGATTTCCTAGCTGAAAGTCTAGTGATCCGAAAATTATAGGGATCAAAACATACCTTTTCGAAAATTTCAGCCAGAAAAAAGGCTCCCGAACATTCTAAGTGACCTTTTTATGGTAAAAATCCGTTAAAAATGGGCAATTATATCATTTATAAGATGTTCGAAAATCCTATGAGAGGCAGGCAAGCAAAAAATTTTACAACAAATGTTCCGAAAATTCTAGATCTCAAATCGTCTTCCGAACAGATACCGTATTTTCCGAAAATTGACGATGGGTGCCCCTGAACCGTCAGCAGGTAATTTTTTTACTATCAACCGTCAAAAATGTAGACTAATATTAACCCTCAAAACGTTTCATGGTATTTCAAATCTCACTATTTCAGCTAATCTTCACCGACTAGTGTGCTCAGTCCTGGAGAATCTCTAAACTGGGAAGGGAAACAAGTTCCCATGTTTTCAAAAACACTCTCTCTAGGCAGAACAAGACCGTACAACTTGCTTTAACTGAAAAGATTTTAAAATTTTTTAGGTGTAAATGCCAAGACAACCTCCAAAACATAGCGATTAAAATCTTGGACTATAAATTTCCACTCAATTACTGTCAAACGTTCAACTGTCAGAATGGGAAAAAATTACCCGTCAATAGTAACGGATACCAAACCATGTATTTCTAAACATGGTCCATAGCTTGATAATGCTTGTTTGCAGAAACAAAACGGCACACAAAGACTAAGTACTCATTAGTGGTCATAAGTTTGGGACGTGCGTAAGATACAATGTTAACAACTATACTATCTAAGAACCGGAACGTGCGTTAGTTCTACAAAACTTTCATTAACGTACCTCAGATTTGGTGGTCGCGGCGCGATAAGAAGGGAATTGATCGCAAGTCTTAGAGACGTGTTCGCTTCTCCACAATGAACCTGAACTGAATTAAGCATATTATCGGGGTGGCTATTTCAACCCCTGCATGTACGTTCATCGGGATTTAGTCTAATCCGACACAAATTGGTTTGATAGCTGACAGATTTTCATATTTTGATTTCACAATCCAATAATTTCCATGCTAACATCTATTTACATCTATCAGCCTACGCCCCGATCATGAATTCGGTGTGGTGAAAAGCAAAGAATAGTGCTTTATACCTAACAAAGCCTGCGGACTTGGTGTATAACTCATACATAGATCGACATAGAATAACCTATGAAAGAACTGCATAAACAACTGTTATTGAAAAGTCCCCGAATAGAGCATTCGTACACAGCCGGGAACTCTCAAGTCGTTTTAAGGAGATAACTACGTCACTTGTAATTTTTATCGAAATAATTCCAAGTATTCTTGTTGGATTTAAAAGCCGTTGGTATTCAATCGATGATCAAAACCTTTTATAGTTGAGTATGTGTGCATCCTTTAGACTGTTTCATATAGTCCTTACTACGAATAAAAAGTCTCTTTTGTCTTTTTTAATAAAAAGAATCTGCATCAGTACAAAAAGATGGAAAATTATTTTCATCTTTTTCTGTGAAAAATCTAATCAATGGACAAGTTGCGTGTCGCTGATCTAAGAAGCACTTAACTGGGCAGCCGAAATCTAAACACAAAACTGCCACATCCAATTTATTCCCATGACCCTAGGATGCGTAACTTTGAGATTAGCAACATGCTCGCCATTTAGATCCTATTTTTGAGATTTTTAGAAATGAAGGAGGGTCCAATATTTTTGGTCGCAATCGTAAACAAGCAAGAACGTCAGATCCCTTTATCTTTCCGGCAAGCACGCGCGAACGTGATGATCGAGTTTGTTTGGCTGTTTGTAGATCTACCTGACATTTTTCTGGCTGACCCAAATGTAGCAAGGTTTGTGAGATTTTCAATCCGAAGATTTATTTCAGGGTTAAGGGTAGCTGAAAAGTGCGATCTTTCCTTAGTAAGGATATGGCTAAGAACATCATTTGAGCAAGAGCTCGGGAGCCGATTGGGCCGCCGCTATTGTCTAACATGTGATAAAATTTTAAGAATTCTTGGGGAAATCTGTCTTCTAGCGCCTTAGTTTTTGGACAGAGGCACTCTCGAAGTTCTTTAACCGCGAAATAAATAGTGTTAATAATATATCTGGCGATTCTCCTCACCCCTCCTACTGAAATTTCTGGATCCGTCCTGAAAAAGCAACATTCGAAATTTGCGAACGTTTGATTATTTCAAGGGAAAAACTATTAGCAGAGTAAAAGTTACGTCACTCAATACATGTTTTCAGATTCTTTTATGCTTGGTCCGAACCTACTCAACGACCTTAAGGACCTCCTCGGAGAATTGAACGCACTAAATCCCGGCTTATTAATTTACAGTTGAGTTTAGTTTCCCAAAGCCAAAACATGATTTAGCCAGTTCTTTACTGAGCATAAGCAAGACAGTGGGACAGTACAATACGTCAGGTCAGGAGATGGTTACCTCAGCAAACTAAGGCATTAAAAGAAATAGTTTAAAGGGATCAGAACTGCTCAAATCCTCTTACCATTAGCGAGATTATCCTTATCGCGCCGTTAACTGAACAGATAATTGACCTGTCAATGCATAGGACAACTCAAAGCCAACTCAATTAAACTTAAAGCTTTAGTTCTTTCAACCAATTGAGCTTAGTCATTATGGGTCCTTTGGCGAAATTCTATGATGTAATCAGTCTAATGAGAACTCTAGTCTTTGGCAGTAGTTTCATATGTCCATTTGTTTTTCGGTCTTCACAAAGAAATGTCAGTTTTTTAGCAGTTTTAACTTCATGAATTCTTAAGGACCGAAATGAAGAGGGTTCAGTATTGCATTATGACAGTAGTAAGATTGGTAGCTGGTCTTTCATTGAATTCTATCATTTTACTTGAAAGTAACCGTGAACCCCATACCTGGGGCGTTTGTGCGTAAGTTAAGGTTGGCAATATGGCGAAGAATTTGTAGAGGAGAGTTGTTCCAACAAATCACGACGGGGACCAAACATTACAGAGTGACGCAATCTTCAGTAATCCAGGGCGACAGCGAGGGGCTTAAGACAGTCTCGGAATTTTCTTTCGTGTGCCTTAAGGGAAAAAAAATGGCCTTAAGATTTATATATTCAGACAGGTAGCTATGAGAGAAAAATTTGATTTTTTCCCGGCTTTTTTTGTCAAATGCAAACAAGAAATTTCTTTTCTTTTGGCTACGACCCTGCTCAGTTACCTCAAATGCTTCAGGAAACAAAGCAACAAATTCGAGAAAAGTCGTGCGATCTGATGAATAGCTTTTCAGTAGCTTGCAGAAAGTTCTCGTTTCTGTTTTTGTTCTGACATCGATCGAGACCTCACTATGACATCGACAGAGGAATAAGCAGCAAAATGTCAAGTTTTGTGGCGATGTATATGCTGCGGAATGAAAGAAGAAAGTTGTTTCTAGGGGTAAATTGACTCCCTGGAGAGTTAAAAACTGCTGAATTCTCGAGTTAGTTTGATGGCTTTACAAGTAATATCCTCAGAATGGATATTTCATGCGCGGTTTTCGATTTCGTTGTTAGTTGTTTTTTTTTTACTTTGTCTCATCTTCTTTTCTCCTTTTTTCTCGCGCTTTTTTTAACCTTTTCCCGCCGCGCCCCCAAAGCCAGGGAAAAGCGCCCTGGGGACGAGGTTGCCCATAATACACCTTGTTTGCTCCCCAAAATTTTGTATAAGCATTGTCTTTTATTTCCCTTGGGACCACTCTAATACCCAGGAGAAATAAAAAACAAAGGTTACGCAAAGTTTCAGGGGGTCAAATAAGGTGTATTATCGAAGATGTGAAAGTGGCGAATGGCCAGTCCTTTGAACATGCGCACAGCCACTTCGGTAATGCCCAGTCTCGTTCCCAGTTAGAGCCGCGGTCCTTTTGGTCAGCAGCTACGTTCTCGACCCATGTCGGTAAGGGATTACTGTTTTGGTAACGAAAATGTTCAGTGGCTGTGCCGGTCGCAAGGACGGTTGTTTTATCTTCGTTAATGACCCTTCAACTTGACATAGCTGTCGGAAAAGAGCTGTATCCGAACGTCCGCCTAATTTGCCAGGTTACCTGTGCTAAGCTCTTAGCCCTCGAGCAAATATGTTTCCTGCGAGGGAAGCTAACTTTCAGCAATTGACGTATAGGTCTCTGGAAAGGTCCCCAGATAGCCCTGGAAACTCTGGATGCCGGATACAGTGCCCAGGCGTTAGTTTTGCCCGGCCACTTCGGCGCAAGTATTTTCGGCCAGTTTTGGATTCTTTTGTTCGGGAAGCTTCATTGCTTTTCATATCTGGGCTGGTCCTATTTCTAAGAGCCCTAGGGTATTTATTTACCATTGGAGTTCGAATTTCGTGGAAAAAGTGGCGTTGAAAAGAGAGCGATGGCGGCTGAGAATTTATTTCATGTCACGCCACCTACCTTTCGCCTTGTATATTTTATTGAATGGAGGGTGACTTTGAGCAAATTATTATGAAACTTCGAGTGAACACTAACGACAAGAATACCTAACTGCAGGGTAAGAATCATTGACTTTTTTACAGTACTTCCTACAAATTTTAGGATCGCATCTTTACCCCCTGCAGACACTAACTTAACAGGAATCGACTTGTGGTACACTCACAGGGCCTGGGTTACCTGTGCTCTGTTTAAGCAGCACCAGTTTAATTATTGCATTAGAAATAGGGGAAATGAGCTGGAGGCTCGAACATGCGACTCATGCGGTCTGGGCTCAAGGTCTATTGGATCAACACACACCGAGTCAAGAAAATACAGTTTTAGTTTCAATTTTCTTATATCAACTCTCTCCAAGACGGACACCTTTGGGACCGGCACTAAATGTCCTTCTTAGAGAGATGTACGTCTTATAAAGAGTCAAATAAAGGGAGTAAAGAAAGGCAGGGACCAACTCTAGGTGTCCATTTTACAGAGGTGTCCGTCTTATAGAGAGTCAAATAAAGGGAGTTAAGAAAGGCAGGGACCAACTCTAGGTGTCCGTTTTACAGAGGTGTTCGTCTTATAGAGGAGTCCGTTAAGGGAGAGTCGACTACTGTATGCGCTTTTGGCGTTCATTTCAAAGCAGCGCAAACCATTTCTTTTACCCCATCCTCTCAAACGACTGCTTTAAATCCAACCTTGTCCCCAGAAGCGCCTGTTGCTTTAAATCCTATCAAACTGCCCTATTCTGTATCGATTCTAATGTTGAGCAGTTTTTATCTTCAATTTGCAAGTTCTTAAACGTGAATTAGGGGTTCCTGACGTGAATATAATGCAATATTCTACAGTTGTTCTCGGCTATCAGTCGTTTTCTCGCCTCGTTCTACTTATTCTTTTTAAGTAAAGCTACAACCTCGGACAAAACCTGTCGAGACAGATCACAAAAATGCCTTTTTTTATTTTCTGGCACAATGGAACCTTCATTTCCCCCCTCCCCTTATCCAATGTTGTTTAGGATATAATACGATGGATTTTAGACCAAAACAACTTTGAATAGGGTTGGGGTCGACCCAGATTGGGGGTGGGCCGGGACCACGGATTTCAAGTGACGGGGACTGACCGAAAGGTTTTTTGGGGTGTGAAATTTTCGACACCGGGATTTTTTGGGAAGGAGAATATTTGCAAACATTTTCTCGGGTGGCTTGATTTTAATAAGGATTTTTTGTGTATTCAAAACAATCTGAAGATTCGTGATACAGTGGTGATAGTGCCTGCGTGCGCGTGATCACGGCTGCGTAGTTTTGCGAATAAAGTACACTATTATAACTTGTTTTTGCGGCTGTTTTAAGTCTTTTAATGTTTAATGCATTACATTGCATCTGAAAATTCAAAGTAAGGCTCGGGAAATTTGGCATAGGATTTTTTTGTGTTTTGAATTTCGCCCCCATTCGAACATGCCCGTCACTTAAACTACAGAGTACCCCCTTTGGGGCTGGGGAGAGGACAGATTTTCCTGTTTAGTCTAGAGGAGATTGTACTGGCGCAAACGATAGACAGAAGCACATGCTTAGAACATAGATGGAACTGATAAGAACACGCAACACGCAACACGCAACACGCAAGAGCATAGAACTGTCTCTTGAAACAGTTTTATACGAGGTTGTAGTATTCCAGGGTCATTGCGAGTGGTACGCCTATGTTAGTACCTTTAGTTGTGATTTTAGCAACATCAAATTACCGGAAGTAAAATAATATAGCTAACCCACAGGCTGTAATTTAGGAAACACCCGCACCTTCCGCTCACCGCCTTGACACTAAGTCCTTACGTAAAGATTGATGGCGGTGAAGCGTACATCCTACTCTCGCTGGGGCACAATTTGCGATATTTAGAACTCAAAACAGAGAAAATGAACCGTCATATTCAAGTTTTATTTCTCTCCAGAAATAAGTTTATATTTTCTTATGTTTATCATCGCAGTTTGCTTTTTGTTTCTTCTTATGAAAAACATACTTCGAATGCACTCATAAATGGAGCGGAGCTTCAATTTATGCGGGGAAAAAAAATGTGTTTCGTCATTATTATGTACAACTGTATAAAAAGTTGAAAATAAACTGGTCCGGTACTGGAGTTGTTGGTCCCTGTTTAATCGTTATGGGCTACTGGCCCAAGAATTTAGAGTGGAAAATCAAGGCAGTCTAATTTCAAGGCACGTTCTTGCTGTTGAATAGAAGCGTCCTCTTAACTCGTATAAGCCTGTCACTGCGAATCGATGGGTGCGGCAGAGAAGCGGTTTTTGGAATCGTTGTTGTTCAGTGAAGTGTTCACTTATTCGTCTGCGAACCGCAGACATATTTCCGGTCGTCGCTTCTCTCAAACTAGAAACTAAAGCCGAAAAAACCGGATGCTCTCCCAGGCTATTCACTAATTATTTGTTACGAACTTAAATTCACATTCGCGGGCTACGAGTAGTCCCTCACTCAACTTTCGGGTCGACATTAGCAGCCGCAATACACGCTGGGATAGGTTTAGCCACGTGACGTCATCGGAAGGGATCGCCATGTTGAATTTACAAAGCGTTAGAGGCGATTGAGTTTAGAAGTCCTTGAAATTTGATGGAGGGTTTTACGGATAGATGAAAGAAAAATCGAAAAAATGCCAAAAGAAGAGAAGAAAGAGTACCTCAAGATATTAGGAGTGGACAACAGTTCGTCAGAAAGTAGGTATTTCCATGGATATATCTCGAACTATAAACCCCATAGTACTGTAGAGGTTCATCGTAATGAACTTCCGACTTCAAAGTGGGCAGTAGAATCGGGATTGTTTGAGGTTTTCAAGATCATATGTTCCACAGATTCTCTCATTATATACCTTACAACACTTCTTTGAGAGATGGAGTCGTTTGTTGTTCCTGTTACTGAGAGATGTGGATTATTTTGCAGATGAAATTAAGCGGGCCTACAAGAAGCTTGCCCTTCAGTGTCACCCGGACAAGGTTTGTGTTCCGTCAAAGCTTGTTTATGCTCTGTTGATAATGGCTTTTATCATCCATTCCACCTTAAATTCTCCAGAGATCTTTTGATATTGAATTCTCCTTTGTATTTTTATCCCAGAATTATTTCGTTCGTGTTTTTCACTACTCCTGTCTGGAACCTGTGCACTTATATTTCCACCAACTTGTGTAACGTTTGACTTTCTTTCGCTTTATATCATAGAACCAAGGTGACGTTCCTTCGGAAAAGAAGCTTTTTGATGAAGTCAGCAAAGCGTTTGAATCTCTTACCTTAGGTAAGACCTCACTTTTAAAATAAGTTGGACAAATTCGTTTATTACCCATGACCTTTAAGCCATTCGATATATCTACGTCGCGAAGTTGCATTCTCAGACGTATCAGGCCGGTTTGCGTGTGGTTACTTCAATTTTCAACGTTAGATTTGTCGGATACTTCAATATATTTTTCTTTTCTCTACAGAATACAAAAACGATTCTTGTCGATCAGACTATGATCAGGTAATTATAAGACGTAAAAAGACCTGCAACTTCACTTCTTTGATAAAATTGGGGAGACAAAGCTAAAGTAATAGCCAAGAATTCCTTGCGATTAATTCCGTTTGCGAATTTACACCTTCGTACAAATGTAATATTCCTGGATATATTTAATTTTCGTATATCTTTATATTTAGATTTTCTTCGATTTCCTGCGGGACATCTTTGGTTGGAAAGAAGGTAAAGTGATTTTGAGTAGTTTCGAAGGCTAAACCCTCCTAAATATTGATTTCCCTCGTAATGTAACTTGTTGGTATCGTGTGACTCAATCAGTTATCACGCTGGTTTACGATTGGGCGACACGTAAACACTAGAAGTAATATTTTATTGACAATTCCATTTACGCTGTGTTACTCGCGATGTAGATGAAAACTTTTCATCGACCTCGTGTTGTTACCGTCAAGTATTTAGTAATTTTGGTAACCGTAGAATATATTTTAACTGCATATTAATAATGATAAGATTCTCCTAATAGTTCATCAAAGGAAACGTTATTTGTACTTTTTAGGCTAAGATTACCTAATAATTACTGAGAAACACACTCATTTGTTCTCATAACTTAATTTTTCATATGTTTATGTAGTGTCACTATTTATATATCTGTACTCAGCTTGTCACTTTAGTAAACTTATTGCTGTTGTTACCAGCAAAGTATTTAGACCTCTATTTAAGCTGCTTTCTTTACTTTTTGTGGACCATTGCTGTATAGAGGAAAACAAGTAAGATTAAGTGTGCAAGCAAAATGAAGAGTTTAATAAGACAAAAAAAATAATGTATGTTCAACAACAAAGAACGAAAAAAGTGCAAATACTGATTAGCCACGAACGATGAATACTGCAGTTTGGACATTTCTTAGTAATTTTTTTGAATTTGAGCAAATTTACTGTAGATTCAAGCCAGAATTATACAGATAATAACTTTAAGAGAGAAATGTTTTTTCTCATTCTACATTCTACATTTGGCTTAAACACTCGTCTCGTAATTCATGCTTGAATGATAAGCGCGCAAAAAGCAAAACATCCCTTTTGTCACAACCATGTTTACATACTCTCATGCAAACACACCTCCTGGCCGATCAGAGTGCGCATACTATCTTAGTTATGTTATAAATGTTGTTACAGTTCAAATATGACCTGAATGTTTGACACATTCACAAAGTTTATTGCACTATCACAAAGCAGTTTAGAGACAGTAAAGTTTAAACTAAAATTGGTTTGTTAATAATCTTTGACCCGTTTTTTCTCTTAAGTAAACGAGGGATGGTTTTGTAATATGGCAGGACCATTTTTTAACAGAGTCTTCATGTAGGGTGTCGAGCCCCCAGGAGGCTTAGTAGTCAATTTATGGTACTTGCGGGTCATTACTTGGAGGGAGGGGTAGGGACTGGTACAAATAGGGGGGGGTCAGGAATGTTTTTGAGGAAAAAGTTGGGAGGTGATAAAAAGTTATTCGCTTTTATTGTAATTGAGGTTTGACAAACAAATTAGACCTTTTTTTCCAACCTTTGACATGGAGAAGATTGGGAAAATTTGCCTAGTCCGCTAAAAGAGCCACCTTAAAGTTAGTAAAACAGCTAAGTTTGAAAGAAATTTGTTGAAAACTAAGAAAGTTATAGCTCCTCAAAGTTACAAAATTCTACAGAGGTTTGTTTGGTGGTGGGCAAAGTTTGTACCCCCCACCATACAAATCACTGTAAATTTTCTCAAATTTATAGCTATATAGTTGCTTGCTAAAGATGCATCACTTTCAAACTTGGCAATTTTAAGGATTTTAAGGTGCCCTTTGCAATGGTGTTGACAGATTTTCCCTAACTGCTCCAAGTCAAATGTTTAAAAAACCGTAGAAGAGTCTATTGGACTCTTTAAACCTTTCACTACTAGACCAAGTTATAGTATGATGATTCAGCAATAGGCCATTTCCAAGTTGCCGCAACCTCTGTTTCAAGGCGAGGCTAAGTGCAAAGCTATTGTTATAAAAATGACTTTTTATTATAATATTGTAACAATAAAAATCATTTTCACAATAAAGGTTTTTCACTTAGCATTGTTTTGAATGTGAACTCAGAAGTGGCCTGTTCAAGTGAAACCTTTGTGGCAGACCTTTTTCATGCTGTTATTACTTTCTTGGGATTTCACATTTTTGTCATTTTTGTTTTTTGTATTGACTAATGTTATGAATGTAGAAGTCAATAACAGAAATGTGAACTTTTAACAACATCACTCACTAAGCATTCTGATGTCCAATAATATTAATATTCCACGACTTTGTATCCATATCAAATGCATTTATCCTGTTGTAGAACACTTGAACACCATACTTATCAGGGTAGGCAAGGGGTGGGGAGTGGCAGTAATGAATGTTCTATAAATGAGAAGGGTTAGGAGAATTTCAACATGTATCAGCCCTCTGCCCTTTTTAACCAATGAGCAGTCTACAGAAAACATAAGTCAACAAGCAGCAAAATGAATTAAATGCATGTGAGCATTGTCATGTGATGAATTGTATATCGGTCTTGAAAGCTATCCTTTATTAGCACTGAGATGCATTAGAAAATGCCAGATGATTTGTTAGGCACTGTTTCTACAAAAAATTATTCATGAATATTATAAAATGACAGTGAAGCAAGGTTAAACACACCCCCTAGGATTCCGTTATTTAGTGAATGAATGTTGAGCCCATTAGAAGTTAGTGGTAGATTTCAGATTCATCTCTGCATTCCTGCATGTGTAATGAGCAGTGAATTCACAGATGAAGTACTTACAGGAATGAAATTTCTGCTAGCTCAGTTTTTTTTAATTTTATACAAATATTTTCTTGACCATTATTAGATGGTGAAGGTGCAGGAACAAGTAACTTTCTCACATACTTCTGTGGATCTAAACAACACCCTTGTTCTTCAGATGTGGACTTTGATTCAAGGTAAGAATGTATGATGGTTAATAACTGGTTACACTCAAGCCTCCCTTATTACTAAGAAGCCACCTAAATAATGATACCAACATTAGGTTGTTGTTCAAAAGACTGTAATCCATGCATTCTAAGTTACAATATAACCAGTGTCATGTTTTCAATGAAAGTGCCTTGAATACCCTGAGTATATAGAATGCCGCAATGTAAGAACAACAGTCATTGTCTTACTAGTAGTTGTGTGACATTGCATTATCCAATTTGGTGTTCTTCCAGATATGATTTATATCACAAACTCTCAATAACTGAAGGAGTTTGTGGAATATCATGCAACCGTAATTCAAATAATCTCCTTGTTTAAAAAAAAAATGCAGGAAAAAATTGCAACCCTATTTGGCTCGATTAGATTAATAAGGTAGAGCACTGTGTTATAAATAAAATAAAATAAAAATAATTTTATTATCCTCGCCCCTTATGGGGCTTTTCAAGGTAATGATACAAACAATAACATGGTTAAGAATCCCAACTGGTAGGAGGTGAACCAGTTGGCTATTTTACAGCGGTGGTCAAGGATTTGAACTCAGGACCGCCAAGAACGAATCCAGCTAGCAGTCAGTGAGGGACTTGAACTTGGGGTCCCCGAATTACAAGTCCAGCTCTCTAACCGTTTACCTCTCAGCCTCCTTAAAGTAACTCATTATCATGTCATTTAGTTATTTTATCTGCAGTTCAAATGAGTTGAAAAACTGACTTAAACAACCATTCATATTAAAACAGATACCAGGACACAGAAGAAGAGGAAGATATCGATGGTGAGGGTGACATAGACAGCATTATGGAGATAGTCAAGGTAAAAATCACTTTTACACTGCAAACATAAATTACAAAGCCGTGAACAAAATTAGTTATTAAAATGTTAAAAGAAGATACAGATCTGTGGGTATTTAAGTTTATTGACATTTTTTCTTATCAGAATCGGAGAAAGAAAGGCAAACATGTTCCAGAGGAATTTAGAGAGGAAACTGTAAGTGTGATAAAAGTTTGTAATATTAAGTCTGACATTAGCTCTTAATGTATATTGGTTACAGGGTGCAAAGAAAGTCAGTTTTACAGCCTACCATTCGGGCAAGCTGTAGCTAGCATATACTAGCCCACAAGTCATTTCAACTAGCCCCAAAACCCTTTTTGATTGATTACAATCCTTCTGTAATTTGAATTTCCACAAAAAACAGCACTTGCCCATCAGGCAAGTTACGAACAGGATTCACTAGCCTGGTAGCAAAATCCACTTGCCCCAGGCTATCGGACACCACTTTCTTGGCATGCTGTGGGTAAGAGTGTCCTTTTCTCTGTTCTTATGATGTAAAATTTATTGTTTTCGTTCTAGTTGATGGTGTTAAAGACCAAATTAAACCAACACAAGGAAGATATGAAAAGAGACTCCTCCAAAAAGGTGTGGATACTGTTTAGGTTTTGAATTCTTGTAGATTTTCAGTAAATGGCCTCTCACTTACCCATTCCTTGCCATATTACTGATTGTTACTATTTTTTTCTAAAAATAATCATTTTAGCAAGCAAGCAAGAAAGGAAAAACTCCTGTTCCTGTAGCAAAGGTTGGTATTACCTGCTGTGTGTAGTATGTCAGAGTGTAGTAGTATGAGTGGGATTCTTGTCATGTGACAAGTATTGCTTTGAAATTGTTGTTGACAAATCCTGTAGACGCTAGGGCACAAACATTTTTTCATAAAAGTTTTAATTCATAACTCCACTTGCTTACAACCCTCTTACTCTATCAAGAGAAGGCATATGAACCTATGCTTGGGGTGGAAGGGTGGGGGTATTGTCTTGTAATATCCAAAAAGGCTGTTAGTTTCAGGAGTCTTCCTGTGCATAAATACCAGTTCTCAAAGGACACTTAAGGCAAAGGGGAATATTGTTCCTGAGAAATGCCTCTCAGCTGGGACATGTTGTACTTCTGTTAGTGAATAGGAAGTTGTAAGTAATTATAGTACTTGCTAAATATATCTCAAATGGTTACTTTGCACCACCGGTCATGGAATTCTTATTGAAACAAACAATTTCTTTTCAAAGCCAAAACCTAAAAGCAAGAAACAGTTGCAAGCTGAACAGAGACGAAGAGAAAAGGTGGGTTCTTCTTATAATAAGAGCGATAATAATAAAGTTCACTGGCCCAGTAGGCAAGGGTCCTGGCAAGTTATCGTCTAATAAAATCATTAATTAAGACGAGGGAGGTGGCCTTAGGCAAGCAAAATATGAGAGCTGCTTGCCGAAATGACAAGCTGGAATTCAAGCTTTTTTCAAGCGCTGCAGCCTCCAAATAAGGCAAATCCCACGGATTCCAAAAGTCCCATTGGGACCCTCTTTACAAGCATTGCCGAGGATTTGAACTGAGGACCATGAAGAAACAAATCCAGTTAGTACTCAGGCGAGGGCGACCCTATTGTTTTTTGCCTACTCTATAATTTTTACAGAGGCAACTACTTAATGATGATTGGTACTGTGGGAGCGTAAAGAATTAGTGCGCAGATTGGGTTACGACATCTTTGTTTAAAATGAAGACTTTTTGTGGCTAATGACTAACTGTGCATTTTAGGAAATGGAGAAGATTGCAATGGAATTGGAAGAGAAAAGAAAAGAAGAGGAGGAAAAGGAAAAACAAAGGAAACAGGTGCTATTTTAGACTTAATTAGTTGTTTCTGAAGAAAACTAAAAATGATAGATATGTAGTAATGTTGTACTTGAAGTTCAGGGTGCAAAGAAAGTCAGTTTTACAGCCTTCCATTTGGCAAGCTGTAGCTAGCATATACTAGTCTACAAGTCATTTCAACTAACCCCCAAACCATTTTTGATTAGCAGGATTGATTACAATCCTTCTGTAATTTGAATTTCCCCCAAGAACAGCACTTGCCTGTCAGGCAAGTTAAGAACAAAAATAACTAGTCCTATAGCAAAATCTACTATCTTTGCACGCTGTTGAAGGATGATTCCTGTGCAACTATTCCTGTGACATCTATCTCACTTTTCTCAAAAAAACATCGTCTAGCAGAATCTGTCCTGTCCTCGACCTACATGGACAAGTCCAAGGTGTCAAATTGGATGTGTTGAACAGTCTAAAGTTTCAAATTTCCTATTCCTTTCCAGCTGGAAGTTGAGAAACAGAAGCGGTTAGAAGAGGAAAGAATAAGAGCTCAGAATGAAGAAAGAAAGAGACGTGAAAAGTAAGACTTTCCTTTTTGGTTGTTTTTATTGTTAGGTTGTTGTCATTGTTGCTGAAGAGGTAAGAACTTCAGGGACCATAACGTACACTGTTTTTGCCCACGGGTATTGGTAGGGGATATTTGCCGTGTAGTTAGACTTTTTAATTGTAGGTGATATTTTCTTGAAAAAGGTTTACAGGGGCCTCCCTTTAGGTTAATGGGTCTTATAGACACGGTACCTGTTGAATGGAGAAAACTTGTCCCCTCCTTCTCTCTGTTTTTTTTTTCTGTTATTTATTTATTTATCTGTCCATTTATTTATTTATTTTTTTATTTCTGGTGTCATGTATAAGTCTTGATTTAATTTACAGGAGAAAGTGTAGTGTAGCTCTTATTTTTTTTTTGTAAAGTTGTAACATTCAAGTCTCAGGCCGTAAAGGTTAATGTAATGTTGTAGAGTTGTTAATAAAATTATTTTGTTGCAAAATTAGTTATACCATAGGGAAACATTATTTCCCAAATGTGATAATAGCATCAATGTTCTATGTTGTAGCCTAGCCGTTTCTCCAGGGTAAGAGGGAATCTACTTGTATTGACCGCTACACATACCTATAATTTACCCGTACCTGTGCATGGAAACAGTGTATCTTAAGGTCTCTATTAGCAGTGGCGTCTTATGTGTTGATGCTGCTTCAAAAAATTTTTTTTTATATTTTTCAACAGTTATCAGTGATTTTTGTAATGGTTAAAAAATCACAACATGCTGATTTACAATGCAATTCCTACTTGACCAGTGATTTGCTAATTTTCAGGGAACAAAGAGAGCGTGAAAAACAGCAAAAGCTTGAGCAGGAAAGAGAGGAGAAAAGAAGACGTCAGCAGGAAGAAGAAAAAAAGCGGAAAGAAGAGGAAGAGAAAAGAAGGAAAGCTGAAAAAGAGAAGGCTGCTAAAAAGGTAAAGCTATTATTAATCAAAGATTGGGAGTGGATTCAACTGCCCCCGGTTCCTGAAAGGCCGATTAGCGCTAATCCAGGAATAAAAATTTTGTTCTATTTTTGTATTTACCTTCCTTAGAATAAAATTCTATGTCATCATCAATGAATCTTGTAGTAAAGACATAAAAGTATTTTGTAAGCTCGAGTAACGTGTTCTTAGATCTACAAGAAAACCTTGCATAAAATTTGGCTTAGTGCTGGGTTAAACTTAACCATCTTTTGAGGAACTGCGCCTTGATTTTTAACCCAATGGCATTTTAGTGATGATGTCATATGCCCTTGCAAAATCTGTGAAAATACCAGCTAATGTGTTGCAAGATCTTTTCAATCAACACCATGTCATACAATCTCACACCAACCTGTATCAGGAGTGCATTCTACCCCGTCAAAATCAATATTTCTCAGTTTATTTATTTCAATAATTATAGGTTATGAAGGTGACTTGCAAACTAAAGCGGCATCTGTGTGTTTTTGTTAACATCTTAATAAGGTGCTTGTATACATCTAGGTCCAAAGGAAAACAGAGCTTTCATTTTAATTTAGACTTTCGATGTTTCGTTTGTAGCATTGTACTCTAAAGTGATCTCAAGGATAAATAGTTGTTACTTGGGTTGTAGGACAAAATTAATGCATGTTACATGTAAACCTTTGTATTCAAGGTTTGGTGAACATTGTCTCTCATTCTTAAATTTTGTTATTATTTTCTTATAGGCTGCTCAACAGGCGGCAAAAGGTAAACGTCATTTTTCATTGAATACTTCACATATTTTTGCAGTCAAGCCTGGTCAAGCGTACCCCCAAGATTTTATTTGAAAGTTAGTTGTTGCTGAGAACCAGTATCAAATGAAAAACTGCATTTCTGTGGGCATAATGAGCAATAAATTTTTTGCGATAACTCCTTTGTATTCGGTCAGATTGAAATATCTATGAATGGACAAAATTGCGTTGAAGACATTTGCATCCAATTCAAGAAAACTGAGGTGTTAATTCACTGCTTATTTCACATGCAGGAATGCAAAGATGAATCTGAGATCCCCAACTACCAATGGATTTATCCTTTGAATTATAAATTTATGAATGAAATCTTGGGGGTGGGATGGAAGGGTATGCTTGACCTGGCTTGACTGTAAATAACATCATGCGTTTTCTCTTCTTAAGTTATGTCCCATTTTGCATCTAATAGTCTAAATTTGTTTGTTTGTTTATTTAGAAAAAGAGGAAAAGGAAAAACTGGCAAACAAAACTCAGGTAAGTAGTAATTAAACAGTGTTCATTGTTTTATAACCGTTTCACTCCCACATCATGTAATAGTGGCCAATGAAAAAACAAACTAACAACCACGTGGAATTCCTGTTTGTTAAGTCGTTAGTAGCAAATACAGAGGAACCTTGATATAACAAAGGGCCAAGGGACTGCAAAAATATGTTTGCTATAGCAAGATTTCATCACATTGAGGTTCTTTTCCATACATTTTACTATTACTGGGGCAGAGATAAATCATTTGTTATACTGAGGACTTCGTGATATAGCATTTTGTTATGTCGAGGCTCCATCGTAGTACTATGCAAAAGTTCTACCAGAAAAGTTCAGCTGGGTGTTAACACCATAGCATTTCAACCACAGAGATCTCACCACGAGAGGATCTGTAAGATTGTAGTGGTTAGATACCTTTTGGTGATCTGTCACCAATTAATAATTATTTTCAAAATGTGCATTGCAATTCCTTAAGTCTTGATTTAATATTTGGAGGCAGCATGGCCGAGTGGTTAGAGTGCTGGACTTGTAATCCGAAAGCCCAGAGCTCAAGTCCTGCTCTGACTGCTAACCAGATTTGTTCTTGGTAGTCCTGAGTTCAAATCCTTGGCCACGCTTTAATTATCCTCTCCCCTTAGGGGGCTTTTCAGGGATAATGAACCAATTATTAAAATGGAACACAATATGGCTAAGAATCCCAACTGGCCGGAGGCAGACGAGTTGGCTATTTACAAGCGTGGCCAAGGATTTAAACTCGGGACTACTGAGAACAACTCCAGCTTGTGGTCAGGGTAGGACTTGAACTTGAGGTCTCCGAATTGCAAGTCCAGCGCTCTAACGGCTCGGCCATGCTGCCTCCAGTTGGCTTGTAAATAGCCAACTGGTTCTCCTACCAGTTGGGGTTCTTAAACATATTATGTTCTATTTGATTTATTGTTTCATTATCACTGAAAAGCCCCATAAGGGGAGTGGATAACTAGGTATTTCAGCTTGTAAAGAAAGTGGTGTCCAATAGCCCGGGGCTAGTAGATTTTGCTATCGGGCTAGTGAATTCTGTTTTTAACTTGCCCGATGGGCAAGTGATCTTTTTCGAGGAATAACTACTTCGAATAACTCAAGAACTATGAGATCAATTCTGCTCTTCAAAAGGCTTTTGGGGCTAGTTGAACTGATGTCTGGGCTAGTAAATGTTAGCTTCAGCTTGTCCGAATGACAAGCTGTAAAAATGATTTTCTTTACACCCTGGTATTTATTATTTATTATTATTATTAATATTGTGGCTAGGAAGTAAAAGAACTGAGTCATTTTGTAGTTGTTTACAATTTAATTTCATCAAACTGTAAAAAGAGCAAGACATGAAAGAACTAACATTTGCACCCATTGCTTTGCCCGTAGAACATGAAAAGGCAACAACAACAACAGCGTACTGATCAACAGCAGTATCCAAGGGAAATACCACCACGATTTCAAAAGAGGATGAAGCAGAAAGAACAACAACAGCAGCAACAACAAACTCAGTATCAACAACAGATTCCACAGCAAACACTTCAACAACCATTAAAGGTTCAACCAAAGCCACAACCCACAGGTGATATTAGTTATAACTTTTATTGGTTATGTAATATAATTAGCCAATACTAAAAGCGAAGCTCTCCTTAACATACCTATAGTTAACTCAAACAAAAAATAAAATAGTGTGATGCTAAACAGGGACAGCAACGAGAACAGCAAAAAATCAATAGAATTAGCGCAAAACAACTTTGCACATGCAGCACTCTTTGCTAATAGGGGAAATATTGTATGAGTCCCTGTTTGCTTTTTTTTTTTTTCACTACCACCCTTTTTCACCTTGGTGGCCTCTAGATTTCTCATTTTCTCACCTCCTCTATAAAATATACGTGTTTTTCTTTCAACGCAATTTGTCTCTTTTGTTTTTTATCTCTCGCTCTAGCTATTTCTTTTTTTCTCCACCCCACTGTAGACAATAAAATATAGTCAAAAAGACTTGCCTTTGTTGTTGTTGTTGTTTTTTCTCTTGAAAAGTTCAGGTGGCCATGTGATTTACTGCCAAAACATGCAAATTTCACCCCAGCTTACATGAAGGGGTACAAAAGTATGGACAGACAATTCTGTCAGAATCAAAATCTCTTGGATGAATAGATAACCAAATTTTCAAACCCAAGGTGCTCCCCTATGACTGTATTAAATAATTAATATAAATGTAAAAAGGTAGTGTTCAGCAATTACAAATAGAACCAATAGCCCTTTGAGCTATACATTTGTTCTCAAAAATTGTAGACAAAAATGCCAGAGGGGAAAAAACTTTTAAACTAGTGGACCATAAAAGCATGATAAACCCATAAACTCCTTTAGGGTATTCTTTATGAGAAAGTGTACTTTGTGTACTTTTTAGGATCAAAAATTTGCAGTAGTATCAATTGACAGATTATACAACAGTTTCTGGTTCAATTTTATTTTGGTGAAGAATTTCCCAATATGGAGGCAGAAGCTTGTTTAATTTGAATGTTTAGATTCTTAAAAGGTGCCATTACTGGGTCAGATGACAACAGTTTTGCTTGCTCGAGTTCCCCCTTCTTTTGAGGCACTCGCTCTTTGCTTTAAGGTCTGTTTTATTGTTCTATTTGTGGCTGTTGTTGTTATTCAAGGAAGTAATGCTTAAGGTTAGGTATTTTGACACTAAAAACTGAAAACCACTTGACATGTGAAAGAATGAGAAACTGAACTTATTTGCTCATCTTTGTTAGTTGGCAAGAAGAAAGATCCAAATCGTTTTGCATCAAAAGAGTATGCTGACATTATTGAACCAATGGATGACGCAGGATGGACACAAGCAGCTCCAGTCAAAGGATCAGGCTGGGGCAATTCACTGGACAATTGGGATGATACTGACAAATGGGGTGCAGAGGACAGACACTGGGGCAATAAGGAAGGGACATGGGATAAACTTATTGTTGATGAAGGAGACAAAGAGACTTGGCCCACTGTTGGATCAAAGGGCATTATAGGTGACAAATTAAAGACTAGCACTAGTGACGCTGGCTCCGAAAAGGGCCAGTACTCTGCAGACTCTTCTCCGAAAACTTCTGTTTCCTCTATGTCTGTTGCTATTAAGTCAGAAAATTCAGGTACTGCTCAAGGAAATACTGGTAACAATGGGGACAAAAAGTCACTGTCTTCTAGTAACTGGACTGGGGTGTATCCGACCCCATCTGAAAACTGGGACGTCATTGATGAGTCTGTTGATCAGGCTATTGATGCTGCTGAATCGGTAGGAACTAAAGACAATGCGGGTCTCACTGCAGGCTGGGGTGGAGTGGCAAAGGGTGGGCTAGGAGGGTTGATAGGGACTTCAAACTGGGAAACTGGTTTAAATACTAAGGACCCACCACCACCTGTGCAAAATAGTGAATCGGCAAAGAATGCAAGTGTGAACAGTCCCTCTGTATCTGAGGCTTCAGGGTGGAGCAAGACACCTGGAAAAGGTGTTAAAACTAAAATGCCAACAACATCAACAGTCGGGACTGGTAATGTGACTACTTCATGGGGTGGAACCCCTGCTGAGACAGACACCAAATGGACTGAACCCAATTCAACATCGGAAGGAGTTGCAAATGCTAAGGATACTAAACCACCAAAACTGGATGCTAATTCTGTTTCTAAATCTGATACGGACAGCAAAATGGAAAAAGACATCTTGTCAACGTCTGGCGCTAAAATGACTGCAACTGGTTGGGGCGATGTACCCACAACCAGTACATCTAGCTGGGGAGCTTCTGGTGTGGATATTACTGGTACATCTTGTTGGGACAGTGTGGCGCAAAAATCTGATTCGTCTTCTACTAACAGCAAAGTTTCACAGTGGTTAGAAACCACAGGAGTTTCGTTTACTGAATTAGAATGGGGACAAGAAAGTATGGAACATGAAGAAGGATCTGAGGGTTCATTAGATGGGTGGACAACTGCTTCTTCTAAAAGAAATAGGGTGAGAACTCAAGAGTATCTTTTGCTTTATTATGTTCTTACATGTGACTACAGAAGATAAATAGTGTCGGAAGTAACTTGAAAAGCACACAATACTGACCACTAGTTGAGTCTACTTGCATGTGTATGACTTAATGATAGGGAGCTCAAGCAAAGACCTTTTTGAGCCACAAAGGTCAACCAGAAGTTAGGCAGGTTGCCAAGAAAGTCAGTTTTATAGCTTGCCATTTGGGCCAGCTGTAGCTGGCGTGTACTAGCTCAAAAGTCATTTCAACTAGCCCCCCACCCCCTTCAAAAAATAATTGATGACAATGATTACAATTCTTCTATAAATTGAATTCTCCAAAAAACTTCACTTGCCCATTGTGCAGGATTCACTAGCACAAGAGCAGCATCCACTAGCCCCAGGCTATCAAAAACTACTTTCTTTGCACTCTGGTTAGGCGGTTTGCCTTTTAATATGCCTTGACACTACCAAATTGCCTGAATATGTGGGCATAATCATTGTTCAAGAATGCAAGAAGGCCATATCCTGTTGACATGAAATAGCATCGCTCAAATGCGTCTCTGCTTGAGCTCGCTAGTGACTCCTTTGCACTCACAAATTGGAGCTCAGTCATTATTGGTTAACAGACTTTACGACCTACAGCTTTGGGCTCTGAGTTGATGTAAGTCATGATAAGGTCAGACAACTGTTTACAAGTCATCATCAGCATCAATGACAGTAGGGTGTTCTGTTACCATGCATTAACTAACTGCCTCACTTAAGTGGAAGGTGGGTGCCTGGGATATCCAGGGGCTTCCACTGTGGCCAGCCAGCCCCTAGATAGAATACTGCCCCCATAGCTGGCAAATTCCCGCAACCCAGCGATGAGCCCCCATTCCAGGCACCTGTCACACTGATGAAACAGTGGAAGGAAGAAAAATAAGGGATGGGAAGGGGGGGAAGACACTTAATGAACCGCCCTACAGACCACTGTACAAACGCTCAATGAAGAACTCACAGATCCTAGCAGTGTACAAAGCTACCACATACCATGTGAGCCTGCACTTATGGGATTGACCGCTGGATGCCCCCTAAGCTTGTGGGCTGCTTGACCACTAAGCTTGTGGACTGCTTGACTGCTAAACTTGTGGACCGCTTGACCGCTAAGCTTGTGAACTGCTTGACTGCTAATCTTGTGGACTACTTGACCGCTAAGCTGGTAGTGGTTAATTTAGTTAACCAAATTTAATCCAGGCCCTAGAGTTTCAAAAGGTGGGTAACATCCAGTGGATGAATCACTATCCCGAAATGGGTGGCACAATATTGATTTTGCTAATCCTTATCAGGGGCCAGTTGCTTGAAGCCTGGTAAGCGCTAACCGTTGGTTAAGAGGTATCAAAATGTATAGGTTTCCATGGTATTTAACACTGGTTAGCACTAACCATGCTTCGAGCAACCCGGGCCTGCTGGATAGTGATATATCTAGTGGATGGCGCTATCAAACGCTTGAACAACAGGGCCAGGATTCTTAGATTGTTAGTTGAAAAGAAAAGTGAGTTAATTTTGATTGAATTATTAGGAGTCCTAGAGAAGGTGTGCTTGATTTCTAGTTTATTACCTCCTCTTTCTAATACAGCTAGAAATTGTTAGTGTTACTATAGCACTATACCAAGGTATGAACAGGATACACGTACCAGGAAGATCAAGAGTGTAAAAACCTTGTGTTTATTGAGGGAAAGCAGTGCCCCTGTCGGTGTTCTCTTGACAAATTTTCCTATTAGCTTTCTTTGCTAGGTGTGAGGCACAAGGTGTTGGCATAACATTGTCCCTCAAAATGCACAAGCGTCTCATGTCTCTTTAGTTGCTCACCATTTTCACATTCTATAAACCTTCTTTTTAACATGTTCTCGACCATTGAAAGAATACAGTCAACTCTTTCTAAGTCGGACACCTTTGGGGCTGGCACTAAGTGTCCATCTAAGAGAGATGTCTGTCTCATAGAGAGTCAAATAAAAGGAGTAAAGAAAGGCAGGGACCAACTCTAGGTGTCCGTCTTATAGAGGTGTCCATTAAGAGAGAGTTGACTGTACAGCTGTTATTCAGTCTAGATGACATAGTCGTGGAGGGCAGATATTTTGCCAGTTTCACTAATCACTTGTTGCTTTTAGGCTCCTAAACCTGCTAATGATTCAAATGCATGGATGAACAGATCTCTTAAACAACTGCTAGACATGGGCTTCAAGGTGAGACAATGTTCACTGCATTCCTACTGTGACTTTTGTGAGTGGTCCAGAATTGGCTATGGCTGCTTAGAATGTAGAAGTGTACTGTTACTTGACTTGTAGTAGAAATACCATAGATACTGTTCACCTGTATACTTTCAGAGTTATGCATACCGCACTCCTCACTTTACTATCACCAAACACTGTTAAAACTAGCATGAAATGTCTGTTTTACAAAGGTGTCTTGTACGCAGTCAAAGAAAGGGGCTAAACAGGAAATTAAAGTAGAACTATAAATAATTGATGGCACTGAGGTCAAGCCGATAGAACTAACTCTAGCATACATACTCTGTTTTTGACTGGCAAATGCACATTAAAGCGAGGGGATAGGGCTATTAGATTAGTTCGCTTTCTGTAAGAATGAGTTAGCTTGTTACACTGCCGCCATTGCACAATCCTTTGAAACGTATGGTAGTCTCTGATCTTTATGGCTAATTGTTATGTTTTAATACTGTCATGTTCAGCAAGTGGATGCAGAAAAGGCCCTCAAGGCTAATCATATGAATATTGAAAGTGCAATAGGTAAGTGAAATCATGTTTTTTTTTTCATGTGTGAGACATTGCCACTGTAAATGTTGAAGAGGTGTCATTTCTTTTTTCCTTTTGGGGAGTTTTAATGTATTGGGCGAGTACCCCGTTGCGGCCCAGTTGTACCGTAATAACTTGCTAGATTTAAGAAAGGATAAATTGTGTTATTGTTTACTCTTTCTTCAAAAAGCTGTGGAAGCCTTTCTTCTTTAGCTATCATGAGAGGCACTCTATAAGCCAAGCGAGGGAAATTTGGCTTTTTGCGCAAAGCACGAGACTATTGCCCAGTTTGCCTCACTTGATTCAAAGCACCTGTCATGCAGGCTAGGTCTTCTTATACTTCATCACGTGTAATCAACGACCAAGTAGCTGATTATCTGTTGATGCGTTTGTAGGGTACTTGCTGGCTATGAACATCAATGAAAACACAGAACAGTTATCTGGAGTCCCTGCGGAACCTGATCCAGCGGAAGCAGCAAGAATCCAACAGCAACAGCAGCAGAGTCAGAGCAAACTTAACCGGAAACAACGTAGAAAGCTTCAACAACAGCAGCAAGCTGAGCAACAAAGTCTTGCAACTAATAAACCTGATCTAAAACAGACACCATCTGAACTCTTAGCTTCTAATTCAGTGACTCAAACAAATGAAACACTTGTTAAACCTAGTACTGAGCCGCAGAGTAAAGCGCAGGACACAGTGGTATCGAGAACTGAAGACACACAGGGTGATTCAAACAGTAAACTCGCTGCCCCAACAACAAAAAGTGATAAACCTGCTCAGTCTGGAGGAGGAGCATCAAAGCCGGTTAATGGACAAGCGCAGTTGCCAGGTAACGGAAAAAGAGCAGGCCCACCATTAATACCTCCTGCGCCTGGCCCAGGAGTACAGGGACCTTTAAGGCCTCCTCTGGCCCATCCACTACTTCACCCTCAGCTTGTTCAACAGCTTCACCTGCAGCAGCAGTTACGGATTGCCCAGGGAGGGCTGCTTCAACCTCCGGTCACTCCACAACAGTTTGCTATGCTGCAACAAATTGCTCAGCTTCAGCTTGTGCAGCAGAGACTAGCTGCTCAATCTGTTGCTCAGCAACACTTGGGACAAAAACAGCAGGTGGTGCCTCAACAGCAGCTCTATCAACAACAGCAGCAGATTGCGCTCATGATTGCTCAGATGCAGCAAGTTTTACAGCAACAGCCTGGTTTGGCTGGCCGGCTCCCTGCATTACAGTTTGCTGCAGTGCCTCAGCAGCAGTCTATAACTCAACAACAGCAACAGCCTTCTCCAACTAATCAGCAGAAAGGTAACAAACCTGTAACAAATGACAAGCCATCTAGCGAGTCTTCACAGACTAAAACTACTGAAACTGTTAAATCTCAATCAAAGGAATCTCTTAATGTCACCCCTGTAACAGCGGAAGAACAGCCAAAACAGCCTTCTCCCGTCACACAATCTCGACTTACCCAATGGAAGCAGCCAGTACTGCAGGATTCTGCTCCAGTCACTCAACCATCAGTCTCCAGCAGTACACCGACATCAGTGGACTCCAAACCTCCAACAGACTCCAGCTCCTCACTGTCTCCTTCGGTACTATCTAGTGTTGTTTCCGCACCCACAATTTCAACTAGTGACACAGCTGATCATTCAGCACCCAACAGCAACAATGTATCGCCACGCACCAGAATTTCCGATCCAGTTTCCAGTAGGTGGGGTGTTGATGCAGGCCCCAAGCTGTCAGCAGATCCGCCGGAGTTCAAACCTGGTGTGCCATGGCGCCCTGCGCCTAAAAACGACAAAAGGGAGGATGGAAGAGAAGGCCTTCCTGTCGCCACTATGGAGGCCTCGGGTCGCTCGTCTTCCACTAGTAGTGATTCTCAATCAGATAGCTGGCCGACTCCAGGAACTCAAACTATCAGTGCTCCAAGCAGTGTTTCTCCTACAAGTAGTGTAAAGACTGCTAATGAAGTGAACACTACAGCTAATTCCAACTTTCCGTCTATGCCAATCAACAGCAACACATTTGAGTCTAGCCAGGTTGACTTCAGTCTCAATTCAACATCCTGGCAAGCGCCAGACAATAAAACCCCACTGCCACCCCCTCAAGGGGCAAACAAACAAGGGTCGAGTGTGGCATCCTTGTTACGACCACCCCCTGGGCTGGGAAATGACGCTGCCCTTCCTGAGTCACCTCTCTTTGATGAAGAACCACCTCCTTGGCTGAAAACTTTAATAGACTCTGGCTTTGGCGACAAAGCCCAGCCGGAATTTCAGTTTAGTCGTTTTGGCTTTGCCAATAACTCTGCGCCGTGGAGTCCCCGAGATGCAGTTTCACAACCGTTTAGTCCGCTGACACCTAACCCTCAGCCTTGGGCTGCTGTTGGAGGGCCAGCCCCTCCGTCATCTGCAGGATCAGCTATTTCCATGCCAAACATTGACAATGTCAGAAGTGGAAGCATAGACTCTCCTGCAGAGCCACCAAACCTGCAGAACTCTGGCATGATTTGGTCCACCAATCAACCCATTCCCAGTGCGGAGGAAAAGCTTTCAGGCAGCCGGCCCTTGACACAACTACCTCCGGTTTCCGCAGCGAGTGGTGTAGCTCCTTCTAGAAGCACTGCTAATTCCATGTCCACATGGTTGGTGCTTCGAAACCTCTCACCAAGGGTAAGTTGTAAATCGCAATCTTAGATTCTACGCTCACCGTCTTGGGCCCTTTTTAGCCTGCGGGCAAGCTCTCCTATTAACACTCATAGCAAGTGCAAGATCTTGAAACTTTGCACATATGTCTGTTTAGAATGGCCGTTGAGACGTATAGTCCATCTTCAAAATCCGTCAAAATTGACGGATGAACAGATGGATAAAGTCAGGCGGATTGTTCATAAAAAATTAAAACCGTTCCGTTTTCAAATTAAGTTGTATTATCTGTTTGGCCCTAATTATCCGTCGGAAACCCGTCTCTAGTGTGAAAATGGCCAACGTAGGAATTACATATCCTTTGTAGACAAACGATGCTATTTTAACGGTTGATACCATCATTAGTAACCGGGCGCAAATTCAATGTAGATGTAATATATGCTCTGGACTAAGTTACAGCAAGGCAAAACATGCACTTTGATTCAAGGTTGTCTATTTTCTTTTAAGTGTCTTAAAATTGACATTGCTTGTTGATGAAGAGAAAAATTACACCATACGATTGGACATCGCTGTTGTAAAGAAAAAATGGGGGAATTGATAACTAAAAAATACGGAAACGTTGCTCAACTCGACTGTCTACTGCTTTGAGAATTCGACGAGGAACCCTTGAAAACGTGGATGACTTGAAGCAAATCAGATTAGCCTCAAGAAGGATTTTAAGTCGTGGTGCTATTTTCTAAACTAATTGAGCTTTTTGTTTGTTTTAGATGGATCCCAAATCTTTGCGCCCCCTGTGCGAGAGACATGGTCCTCTGCTGACATTCCAGCTTAACCTGCGCCATGGTAACAGCCTGATTCGCTATGGCAGCATGGACGAGGCAGCCAAGGCAAGGGCAGCACTCAATGGTTTGATGCTGAACGGCAATCAGGTAGTGGCTGACTTTGCTACTGATGGTGATATCGGCAGCTTCTTTGAACAGACTATGGATTGGAGTTCCAACCCGTTCCCCAGCAACACATACGGGAACCAGTGGTCTTTTCAGAACATGCTTGGTCCTGGTACAGCCAATGAAGGCATTCAGAACGTATCAAGTGAACAAACAGCCCCTAAAATCGCCAACCCCGCCCCTGGCATGCAGTGGGGTGCAGCAGTTGGACCCATGCCTCCGCAGGCCGTACTTGGTGGTGAACAATCGAAAGTCACTGCGCCCATCGGTCAGTGGGGTAGCGTACCACAAGGAAGCGAGCAACCTGGTCCCAAGGCTAGCAACACACATCCTTCTATCTCTTGGGGAAATAACCCAGGAACCGCTGCAGTGCCTTCTTTTTTGTGGAGTTCCGGTCCCTCGCAGCAAATTCTTGGGGGAAATTTCTCCCAGCCTCCCAGCATGTGGTCGTTTCCCGCGGGAATCCCGCGGGATGTGGAGCCCCAGTCGGGTTCGGGTGACGGTCTTGTTAGCCCTTCCATGACAACATTTCTTCCACCCGGACTTCTAAACGGAGGAAGCGACTCAATGTGAACATTTAACAACGATAATGAACTAGAAATCATTAGTAGCGTCATCGTAACTTAGTTTTACCGCTTTTTTGTGTATTTGTTTTGTGTCTTTGTACTAAGTGTGAGTTGGCCCTGAAAACGGGTCCTACGTGTTTCTACCAGTGTTTTAAGTATTGATTAAATCTTCTCAAGATATAAAAGCATGTGTTTCCATAGTTGTTGTTTCATGCACTGTATGAGATTCCAAGCTGAATTTGTGGTCAGTTAAGCGATTTTCGGCAGCGCGAGAACACAGGTCCCAAACCTACGCAGTAATAACTTCAGTTTACGCTGTCGTGGCAATCTAAGTGCAACATTTGATTTCTTAATCCGAGGCCTAGACGACTGTGCAAAACTTTGGAAATAACGACAGCGTTGATTCGGTAAACAGGCTGTACGTTTGGGGAAAGGGGACTGAAAATCACGAGGAGACGGCGAGAGAATAAATTGAAGAGGGGAAGTCCATTACTAGCCCTCGCTCAACTCGATTTTCCTTTTTCCACACAAGGGAGCATGGACCCAGGGTAAGGTAAATTGGCAAAAGGTAGCTAGCTCTTAGTTTCTTACTTTGAAAATGGGGATTTTGAAAACATCATTTTGTATGGACATTCCCTGGTAGCAGAAGTCTCTCACGGCAACAGTGGTAGGAAAAAAACAGACCTCTGTCGACCTCCAATGCGTTTTCTATCACATAGGCACTGGCGTTTCCTTAACAACCAGTGACGTTTTATTCACTTGCGACACAACTTACAGAACCGGTTTGCGCGATAACTGTGGGCTCAGAAAAAAAATATGACAAATATATATGAAATATTCCGACTGTGCAACTATTTGGGCAGGAATTTAAACCGCTTGGACACTTACTGAAATACTGACTAATAGCTCCGGAAAGCCTACCTTTTAAGAATCCGTGTAAGGGAAGAAAACGTTGCCTCGTTTTTTGTGTGTCTTTATTGACTCCGAAATTAACAGCGCGTGGAATTTAAAAACCACGATAATTAATTGCGCATTTTCCTTGGCACACGTGTTTTCGCACGGACACCTTCGATCACCCCTCAACCTTCAATTTTAGGTACAAGAACTACCACTTAAAGAGCTGACTGCATAGAGGTAAACTAGATACTGTAGGGATTACTGTAGTGTCATGACAGAAGCAGAATTTCTGCAGAATTGTTAGATAGCGCTTTCACGGAAAGATGGAAGGTCCGTCCACTCTACACTGAAGCGATAGATCTCTGTATCTTCGTTTTTGTGGAAAGTGTTTTCGAAAGCCTTTCCTTCTAATGTGGACGTAAAACCCAAACACAAAATTTGTATTTCATCAAGCATAAATTGCATCATAGTGGACGTGGTCTTAGGAATCTCCCTTCTTTTTCGATACCTGAGTCCATCATCAATGGCTGACTCATTCCTGGTCGGATGATATCGTGGAGTCACGAGCGCGTGTTATACCTTTATAAAAGAGAGATTTAGATCCACAAACTGCAAACGTCAGCGATTCAGTTTTTAAAAACTGTCCCGACTAATTCTTACTGAGCAACGTGACAGAAAACTACTAATTTTCGTGTGGATATAAAGAATCGTTGGTTATTTGCCGTAAATGTGATTCTAAATTAAATCTATCAAAAAAGGAGTTAAGAAAGTCCAATAAGAGACAGAAATTAGTTGAATACACACGGAATTATCATTTCAATATCACGTTACTAATTTCATCCACTCTATAGGCCATTTCCGAGTTCCCCCTGGCCTTTGTATTAAAACGAGGTTAAGTGCTCAGCCTTTGATATGGATCTCATGCAAATAAAACTCATTTTCACAAGAAAGGTTGTGCACTTGGCCTCATTTTGAAACTGAGGGTTTTGGAACTCGGGAGTGGCCTATAATGCAACAACTCAGATGGACCTTCATTTTCTGCCCCACCCACCTCTCCCCTAAAGCCCTAAGAGCAAACTTAAAATGGATGACAGTCCTTTTCTCGTATTTTTGTTTACAAAATTACCGCTGATTGCGTCGAATACAAACACTAAAGACGCAATGATACAGGGTTAACCTTGACCAAAAATAAGCCGGCAAAAAGGTGTCGAAAATTTAAAAATAAATAAAAGAGAGAGTTGTACACAGGTCTTATTCTCGCTGGAATGAGAGAATATACTCTTACCAGATGGAGGCAACCATTAAAAAATCGTCTTCACTGCTTTTATTTTGCGGTCAGGGCGAACTCGGAACTAGGGCCCGTTTCTCGCAAAACACGGTAACTTTTGGGGCCCTAAAGCAAATTTTAAAATCAAAACCTGTTGAATAGTAGCACAGTTCCTAGCTCACAAACCACTCAATTTTGCTTCGTTAACGGATAGTTTCAAAATTATTGAAATGTTAAGCAAACACGGCAAACGTAAACAGCTTTCTGGGACTTTCGAGAAACAGGCCACCTGGACTATTGTATCCACCAGCCTCGTTCCCAGTCGTCCTCGGCGATTTCGGATGCGACGTCACGACTGACGTCACCTGTCAAGCTTGTCGGGAAAATTTGCCTATCGCGCTCGGTTCCAAGCCTCCTCTGGTCACTCGGATAGCGCGAACAGTCCTGGGTACGAGGCTGTGTATCCACCACAGTTATTCCCTAAAACTGCATCGTGAAAAAGAAAGGCTTCTAACGACATAATTCATCTATACACTTTTATTAAAAACACTAGGTTTTTTGAACAATTCTCTCAGATCTAAAGATCTGTTTATGGACATTTAATTTTAACTAATAAACCTACAAAACATTTATGTTTCATTATATTTTTTAGCCAATCTAAATACAAATTTATATCAAATATTATACAATACTGGACAATGAATAAATAACCTAAATTGTCTTATTTTTATATACTTACATCCAGCCTTCTGTGCTTCTGGTTGTTACAATATTATAACGAATGGATTGACATAAAAATATGTACAAACTTAATCGCGCATTCTTCTAAACAATCTTTACAACTGTTTACAGTTGTAAAGAATACATGGAGGGTATGATTAAAATTAAGTTTCGGAACTCGTATCTCGAATTAAGTTAAGAGAATTCTGTATTGTTGATGGCGTTGTAACCACTCTTTAATGTGCAACGGATAGGCTACCTTGCTGTGTCATCGCCTCTAACTTTGTAAAACCAGCGCGCGTCGGATAAACGCGCGTGTATACTCGACTTGTCACACGATCTCTAACGAGGAAATTTCCGAGGCCTTGGTCACGGGTTTATTTTTCCACTCAACACGAGGAAACAAGAAGAAAACTCGTCCACATTTATTGCTTGTGAAAGATCAATTCAAGATTGAAAATAATATGTTTGCAGAACTGGTTCGTTTTTACACGTGACCATTGCGTTGTAAGTGTGTATAAGAAGTCGAGGAAATCGGCTACTGAAGTAACGCATGTAACCGTCAGGGACTGGACCGAGGGAGGCCTTCACGTGATCTGGAAGCTCGCGGTAGTGATGTTTCTGTTAAAAACACAACGACAAAACGAGGAATTAGGAGTATTAATATCGTTCCATCGAGAATTACCAAAGTTGGCGAAATAATTATTGCGTCTTCTTAGTCCAAAAATATTTTTTGAGTCTTGACACGAGTTATTTTTAGCCCGCGAAAACAGCCGTCTCTCCTCGCCGCCAGCCGCCAGCCGCCAGATACGTTTCGAAGGAGAGACGCGTTTCTCCTGCGAAACTTCCCTAGCGGCAGCGAGGATCGAGGATCGGGGATCGAGGACAGACGGGCTGTTTCTCTGGCTAGTACATTTTGGAAACTATGATGAAATGGGGATTTTTTTACATTTAAATACAAAATAAATTAATTTAGCCCAAAAAAGAAAAGGCGTTGAAAACACACAGGGTGATTGTACTTGTTATATGAACGTTACCTTGTTCCTCATAGCCCGTAGAAGATCCCTGACATGAGAACCTTTATACGTCCTAAATCTTCTAAGATCTGTAAAAAAGAAAATGATGGCGTTATTTGGTATCAGAACTCAACTATGATCATGTAATCCATCTTCAACTCGAGAGTCTACCGTACCATGTCATATTTGCATTTGGACTTTACGATTCTGTCACGAAGACAGCACAACATTCAGTACTTTTACGGCCCCGGGGAACACTAGTTCCTAGTCTTCCAAGGACTCACCTTCTTGTAATTCGCTGCTCAAGTGTACTTTCCAGTCCCCTCTGACCACTGGGATGGAATCTTTCTGTAATGACTGAAGCAGTGCAGAGTCGTCGGGTTCCTTTTCAATACGGTCACTCACGTCCTACAAACATAACGATAACTGCAGTTTACTGCAATAGCGGTAGCCGGACTTTTTAACAGACTTACATAGTAGCGTTAGCCTCTTCACAGACCCTCTTTAGAGATCGACCAGCGAGTATAAAAATTAAAAACCGCGATTTATTGACCGCTTCGCTCTCGCGCCGTCGAATCATCGGTAAAAAAGAAAGAAAGAAAAGAAAAGCTTCTGAGGACAGGCTTGACTAGCATCCCTTATATCGGCGTTTTTTACTTAGTTCCACGAGAACACAATCCCTCTTATTGGGTTGAGAACCAAGAAAACAAGAACTGCAGTAAAGCAAAAATTAACTTTTCAATTACCGGCGTCAAAACTGTATTTTCTTTGAACTAGGCTAGGAGAAACTCAATGAAAATACTAAATTGCAACTCCTGGCATCTTGCCTTCTTTAGTTTAGTAGATACGGATACAGTTGTGAGCACAATAATTGGACTTTGAGGCTCACACTGTCCTGTATTCCTGTCTATATATTGAACGAGGAGAAAGACCTATAATGAGCTATACAATATAAGGGTCACTGTTCAAAGTACTCGAATGAAGGATTTGATACAACTATGGACAAAATTGCGAGTCATCTGACACAAAAAAGGCAAGAGCTGTCTTTGGAACAAACAATATGGCAAAATACGGAACCTAGTTCGCAAAGAATGGTGGGGGAGACCCTCAGAACAAGATTTCAAAAAACGTGGAATGTAGTTTTAAATCTTACCTGAAAGAATGCTAGCTGCTTCTCTCTATTCCAGAAGAATGGATGTTTAAGGATTGCTTTTGCTGAGGGTCTGTAGAGGAAACGAAATACAATAGTTTATCATTTCCAAAATATAACCATGCCAAAAATTTACCAGCTCATTAAGTACAGCCAGTAAGAGTGCCTATACCGTGTAAATCTCGCACAAACATCCGAAACTTTTGCGATGCCTAATTAGCCAACCAGATTTATACCGAGGCATAAGCGACAACTTTTTTGAAAGCGAATGTACTTTCGATGAGTCTACTAGAGGCAACACCAATCTCAGTTGTACGATCAAACCCTTGACTACTAACAAATCAGAAAAAGCCAGTTTGATAAACCGAGTCTCCACTGTACTGAATGGCTTTTCGTGTCGACATGAAAATTTATCTGACGTTATACAGCGGGGGCACCCAACGAGAATACAGTTCAAAACCACTTTAACATAGCATTGTTAAACGTATTTTAGTATTTAAACGGTAGATATAGGAATATTTTTATCCCCTAAAAATTTTTTATCCCTTCGGATTTCCTAGCTGAAAGTCTAGTGATCTGAAAATTATAGGGATCAAAACTTGCCTTTTCGAAAATTTCAGCAAGAAACAAGGCTCCCGAAAATTCTAGGTGACCTTTTTAGGGTAAAAATCCGTTAAAAATTTGGCAATTATACCATTTTTTAGATGTTCGAAAATCCTAGGAGAGGCAGGCAAGCAAGAAATTTACAACAAATATTCCGAAAATTCTAGATCGCAAATCGTCTTCCGAACAGATATTTTCCGAAAATTCACATTGGGTGCCCCTGATACAGTCGAACCTCCGCTAACGGCCACCTCTTGGCTACAACGACCACTTTTTTTTTCGTTCCGGCGGACAAAAAATCCATACATTCACTCTTGTTTGAACCTCTCTACAATAGCCACCTCTCTATAATAACCACTTTCGTTCCGTCCCCAAGGTGGCCGTTGTAGAGATGTTCAACTGGAATCGTTGGCTCATGTAACATTAGAGAGAACTTCGTGTGAAAACATACGTGTTCTCTAAACTTACCTTTGTTTAGGATCAGAATTTAACATCATTCTTATAAGTTCTTTTGATTCTGTTATTACTGTGAAAAGTAAGACAGTCAAGCGTAAGTGTTTCGGTAAATTTTAATTGTCAATTTGTGTACTTGAAATTCAGCGGTAACCCCCAGATCCAATAAGAGGTACAAACCAACCAATAAGAACCAATTAGAGCTCCCTTAAGCCATTTCCGAAAAAGCTCCTGGTACCGAGAAATACAAAGGCAAGCGTAAAACGTAACGGTGTCATTACGTTTCTATGGTAACTCCGCTATCGACAAAATATGGATCATAACAAATTTTTCATTTTTATATAATACGGCTGTGATAATCTTTTCCCGATATCTTTGTTAATATCGACGTGGTAAATGCTCAAACTTGGGAGGTATACTCCCTAAAAACTCCCGTCGAGCCGCCTTAAATATATCAATGCAAGCATTATTTCATGCTGACTCGATCCGCCGAATATCACATGTACGCTACCATATAGCCAGCTTGACGGAAGGAGTCGAAAGGGGTTGGGGAAAAGGGAAAAAGAGGGGGCTCCTTTTCTTGTTATTCTCCCCTTCCCAGGGGGCATAAAAATAGTTATTATCCGCTGTACCAATAGGAAGCTTAAGCAACGACGTTTTTGAGCGACGAACGTCAACCGGAAGTGGACTTTTTGCACTCTTCGGCCGTGAATTCGAACAAATTCTTGGGCAAATCGTCTCTATAAGAGTACAGACACTTAGCAATACAAATTTGGTAGCATCAAGGTATATCAAAAGAGAAAATGGGTCACTTCCGGTTGACGTGCGTCGCTCAAAAACGTTGCTGCTAAAAGGGGCTGTGGCACGGCAGTCCAGTTCATTTTGTTTAATTTTGCCAATTACTCGCCTTCAATCGCTATGGAACTTTAAGTAAGCGAGGAAATTACACTGAAATGACAAAATCAGAGATTCGAGACAACTATGTCTCCTGAGCACTATTTTTGAAGTTGCAAACAGCAGAGATCAACTTTGAAAAACTGTTAGGCTGAACAGTTTTCAAAAACCCTCACTCCAATCCGTTTCAATCTTCTTCAGTTTTGCCCGTTCGTGGCATCTGTTGTATCTGTTGTGTTATTTTCACCCTCCTTTAATGTTTTAAGCGGTTATTTTTACGTTTTTCTTAATTTAACGGGAATTTTGTAATAACCTGATTTGGCTGAATTTCGTGACACAGCTCCTTTAAGTTCCCTAATATCATACAAACTAAATGAGACAACTCTTACATTCTGAATTGATAATCTTTTCTAATTCGTATTCTCCAGCTAATATATTAGCCTGTCGTCTGTATTGATCTCCAAATGGATGACGCCCACCGCTTAATACATAGTAAAACACACAGCCAGAAGAAAAGATGTCTGCAGAACGGTTCTAAAGGGAAAAATTTAATGATAAAACTAAGAGTCATTGAACAAGTAAAACACTAACTGCATAAAGAGACCTTAGGCTCGGTTCAAAACGTCGCATTTCACATGTGCATATATTAATGCTAATAAGGGAAATCTACTGTTTTCGTTCATTTGTATTAGATTCGCCACATGTGAATGTCTGAAGCGGACCTATAAGAATTGGGTGCTAATAGCAACTGCTAGGTTTAATTTCTACTCTCGTCTTGTACCCATGCCGTAATAACTACATTTCATTCGAAGTGTTGCGTAAAGCCGTTGTAACTTACAACAAAACTACGACTTGATCGATTTGAGCCATATCTGCACGCAAACGGTTTTTCCTGAGTGCTGATTGTTAACAAGCGTCAAGGCCCGAACATACGAGCGTCACTGCGCTCGGTGCAGGGCAAAATGGCTAAATTACTTTTGTAACATTGCGTGCAATGACGTAAATTGAACTTGAATTCTTCAGCCAATCAAATTGCATTTAGAGGAAAGCCGCACGTCGCACGTGTTCATCTCGTCATTTATGTCTCGAAAAGTTTTCTGCGGAACAACAAAACAGCTGTGGATGTTCGCTTGAAGAAAGAATACCTTTACTGACTAGTGCAAAGGTTAGAATAGCTGTATCTTCGAATTGTGTTTGGTTCCTCGATATAACTTTTTCAGTAGTAATAGTTGCTTTTGTTGTTGTCGTTTTAATTCTTACTACGCGTGGTGGAGCACACGTAGCGCAGATAGTTCATTACTTTTTCCTTCCACCGTTTGACTCGAAATTCCCTTTTCATTTCACTTGTTGTGCATTGCTGATTACCTTACCTTGTTTCGAGGGGACAAATCTGATGCGAAATTATTACGTGAAAAGTTGCAACCTGTTGCCTGCACGTCGAACAAAACATGTTGCACGTAGCTTTAAGTGTCCGCTCAACCCTTCAAACACCTTTGTCGTGATATGACCGATAAGTTTTATGAATACTTGCGTTCAGCAACTTTTAACATAAATTAAACTTCAAGCAATTTGTAATGGCGAAATTAACACGTGGTGTATATGATAAACAAATGTTCACGGAAGAAGTCTAGGAAACCACCGTCCCTTACCATTTTATTTTCGGGTTTGAACATTTCTGGCGCAATCCAGCCATCTGTACCAATGGCACCTGTTTGACAAGTGACTGAGTTTTTGCCATACGCCAGTTTCTTGCAGAGTCCAAAGTCGGATATCATGGCCTTCACTTCACCGCTTGCACTTCGTTTAGAAATCAGAACATTATGAGGTTTGATGTCACGATGGACTGAAATGGAAAAGAACAATTTTCTTTTTTCTAAGGCTCGGGAAAGGAAATCTACATGTATTACAAGGACTAAGTTTTCTTCAGCTAAGAAGCTGATCTCAATTTCGCAATGCTATTGCTAACGTGACAAAGATTGATTTTCAACCAGGGAAAAAAAAGGGAACTACGATTAGCTTTCTGGAATTTTAAGCTAAACATTCTGACAGCCAAAAATTTTTCATCCTCCCGAAAATTTCTAGCGTAACTGCACTTGAAACCAAGACTTTTTGAAATGAAAAATTTGGTGCAATAATAGGCTCCCAAACGTAGGCAAAACTCTCTTAATACGGAGAACCCTCAAGTTTCCGCTTTAAAAAGGTGTCTCCAAGAGGGTTTTTGGTGTCGTTGGGACTAGAGGATGTGTATGTTATACCCAGAGACGAATCTCCTATGAAAAGGACGGGAATACTAGTCGGAATATTAGAATTAAACCCCTAAAGACTAATCTGGGCGTACGTCGGGCTTAAGAGAACCCGTAAAGAATTGAAAAAGACCATAGTAAACAAACAAATAAGAGCAACACTAATTTATTACGCTGAAGAAGTCGACGGCAAATGCTGTCATCAACAGCTTCTGTTTTGATTTTCTCTCTTTCTCTATATTTTTACCTCTATGAGTGGAAATATCCATAATTCCCTAACTGAGACCAAAAACTGTGATTTAGTTTCCCTTCCCTTTTATAAGCGAACCTTTCCCCACCCACCCACCCTTTGGACACAATTGATATAGATAGATCAGTGACTGTAAGGAGAATTTGAATGTACTCTCTAAAATGAATACAAATCCGTTACTCACCGATGTTAATGTTACCATAATTCCCTAAATGAGACCAAAAACTGTGATTTACACCCCCGTCCCTTTTATGAGCGAACCCTCCCCCGCCCACCCACCCTCCGGAAACAACTCATATACATAGATCAATGACTGTAAGGAAGATTTGAATGTAGTCTCTAAATCCGTTACTCACCAATGTTAAGAGAATGTAGATAGGCAAGTCCTGAGGTGGCTTGTTCTAGAACAGCTACTGGAGCCAGGCCATGACGATCAAATGTGGGATCTTCTGTGTACTGTCAAAAACAAGCAGCATATAATATATAAATATAAATATCTTCTGTGAGTAGCCGGCGCTTTCGAGATTACTTTACAACATTTTTCACCGGTTGCCGAAAGTTTCGTGAACTACGCTCAATTTCTTAACTGAGGATCTAAGCCGGGAAGAAATATTTGGGAGCTTACACATAGACGACGACGGAAACGAGTACGGCAAAAAAGCATTAGGGTTAGATTGGCAAAACAACAGCTCTGCACGTGCATCACGCTTTTTTGTCCATTTCTTTGCCGTCGCTGCACGACTACAAAGTGAAAGTGCCTAATTTCCTGTTTCGTCGAAGGCGTGAACGAAGACAACGACTTTCCGGCTTTTTCTTTTCCTGAGGAAGGAAATACAGTCTTTTTGTCAATTTGCCAACATTTGACGATTTGAGCGAGTTGGAATAAGCACAAGCGACGACGAAAAGTTTGAGGAATTCAACTTTAGGATGGTTCGCATTTGAAAAATTCTTGGAGTAATCCGTTTTGAAGATTGACGAATTCACTTTTTTCGCGAGACGTCGCCGTCCTCGGATTTTAAGGTCCCTAATCAGGATGATGCAGTGATTTTGTTACCTCTGCGTTCAGCAGGGAAACAGAAGGTAAATAAAATGCCAATCTAAATCAGTAAAATGTTACCTCTTGAAGAGTAGCCTCGCATAACTCCAAGGCGATGTAACGAAATTGCTGATCTTCTTCCTGAAATAAGACGAAAACTATCACACGGAGGAAATATCACTCTAGTGGATCCTCCTAAAATGAGTTGAGACCCCTCTCCAGGCCGCGAAAAACGCAGAAATAAGTGTAGAGGTGAAAGTTGAAAAAACGCAAGTCCTCTTTTCCCAACAAAGAAAAATTTCCCATTTAATTGCCGTGTAAAATTTAGAAGAAACTTGACACGTAAAACTCATTTTAAAAAGGTATCGAAAGTTAAAAGTCGTATTATATCGTCTGGAATAAATTTTTACGGAGGAATTAATGGTTTGAACCTTGAGATGGTAGCCATGGACTGGTACTAAAGACAGTTCGAAAATAGCTGTTATCGACGTTATCGCATGGAATGTGCAATAGTTTGTCGATCACATTGGTTTTTCATTGCAGTTTTGTGATTAGCCATCAAACCTCCTGCCATTTTTTAACCAATCAGAAGTAAAACCACCTAAAACTCGCTCACAATCGTTTTCCGCGTTTGTTGACAGCTGCTTGCATTTACTTCAAGTTCTGGTTAGTTCACTGGATATTCAGTCAACATTTCGCTTTCAGTGATTGGTTCATCCGATTGTATAGTTTGTGGCGTGTGCTACCAAGAAATTCCTGATTGTGGCTCACGGGTTTTCCGTGCGTTCCACTGAAAAATTCCCGGGAATGGGTGGGATTTTGAAAAGGTAGTCCTGTTTTCTCGCTGGGAAATTTGCGGTAGAAATGCATGTTCCATTTACGAGTTTCATTTCTCAAGAAATCACTAGTTCCAGGCTATTCAGACGACATCTGGGCCACCATATTGAATTTTAGTGACGAGCGCGTAAGTAAATGGAACTTGTGTCACAAGGAACATGTCTTCACTCGACCTTTGCGTGAAAGTATCTCAAAGTTTTTGCTAAATGGAAAACGCCCATAACTCTTCTAAATACTGACCGTGCAGAAATACCGTATGACATTAGGATGTGCATCAGATTCTCGCAAAAGATCCACCTAGAAATGAAACAGAAAGACTGAGAATATAATTACCAACAAGGGAGCACAAAGAAAAAAAAAGTCAAAATCACAATCAGCAAGAGCATCACACCTCTCTGTTAGCAAAACTGAAACAGTCTGGCAAAATCCTCTTCACTGCAGCATCACGACCATCAAATTTGCCCCTGAAAAATAATAATAGTCTAAATTCTGCTGTATATCTGGACAATTGTGCGGGTGATCCTTGCAGAATAGACTGTACGTGAGAGTGTGGTATTCTGTACCTCATTTTCTTGGTTATAACAAACCGATCCATTCAGCATTAACCAAAATAGCCGTTTTCTAATTTCATAAGAATTTAATTTTATACACTGGGTTGATAGGTTTTTTTGCTTCCTTCACCTACTAACGAAGTACGTAGATTTTTAGATACCAACCCCTTTATTCTCCACATCTGTCTTCCAAAATTTTAGGAAGTTTTATCCTAACATTTTATCTTGTATTGAACGCGTTGGTGAGCCTTGACAAATCAAGCAAACGCAAGTTTAAAAGGACAAATGACTAAATGGACTCACTAGTGCGCACAAGTATGTTTTGTTTTCGGATGTTTACAGAAAGGCCAATCCAATGTAAACTCGTCCAAGGGCTTGTACTAAAATAAAAAAAATACAGTATAGGGACCACTGAAACCATTATAAATATCCGGCTAAGAAAGACAAGCATCAGCGGTCCGTCCTTCATCAGGCATTTGAGCGGCATCACATTCACAGCCCCAATAACCATAACATGGCCGTCTCCACTTGGTATACCATCCAATACAGTAGACTATGTTAAAGAGAAACGCGTGTAATAAAAACTGCCACAGCGAAGCTTTACCGAGCCTTACCTTTGATTTCGTGAGGCGCATGTGCAAGACATGCGATTTACTTTCAAATGGTAAAATTCATGCATTATCAATGTTATACGGAGCCCTATATAAAATCAACCCAAGCAAAATAGTTCCACCAGCAGCACCCATCCCCTCACCCGCCGTCTTCCGCGTGGTCCCTGTAGTAACAGCACCTTGCTACCAATGTTGGATTAACTTACTTGTAAACAACCGTCCCTTCACAACCTCTGCCAAGGACATCCTTTAAAGAAAAGGAGATCTTTCCCACTAACACAAAACTATCTGTTGGCAAACGAAATATTACTCATGTTAAAACAAATGAAGATGAAAAAGGATGAAAGAAACATGACTCAAGACAGTGCTGTGGAACCCTTTTTGCTTAGTAGGCGGGCTCCCGAAAGTGCTACGGCTACCCGCTAGTTTCAACAACCTCTTTTAATTCGCATTTGGCCTCGAATGTCTTTTACGCATTCATTGGCATTCAAAAATTAATCACTAGAAATCGGGGATTCTTCAAATCCAAGGGATTCACAACGCTTACCAGTCGTTTCGCTACAATGTCATATCGTTATACGTAGCGGTTTCAGAGTACTTCCCTGCAGTAGTGCAGTTGAGAGCTCCAGTTTATAGTACTAAACTCAAGAGATATGAAACAGGTTTATCGTCTTCCTAACTTAATAGAGAACTGTCGGCTGGCAGTACCCGGTACCTCAATCCATGACATGAACTTCTTTATAAACTAACTGATCGACCAGTTTAAAATATGTTTTCTTTGTTTACGCACTTACTCATGTTATCAACAGGTTGTTCACTTTGATCAGCAACCTTTTGTGATGAGCCCGAATAAGATGAATTTCTAGATGGTACAGAAGATTGTCTTGTAGATCTCTGGAACAAAGAATAAGAAATAAAAAATAAATAAATAAATCGTTTAGTCACGTCGAAAAACTCTTCAGCTATGAGATAACTGCCAACATTACCCAAAAAGGAAAATTAAAAGAAAAAGACCACGTTGTACCAAAAGCTCAAAGGAGAGGGGGAAAGAAGGGAAAAAAAAGCGTATAAGAGTGACCCCCTGTCGATCACGCACGCTTTTCACACAGAAAGGTGTAAACATACCTCAATGTAAAACACCACCAGTAATACCACAGGGATCCCAATTGTGGCGATAATCGTATACAACAACCTCTGGTGAATCTTCATCATCTCGAACATCTCCTGCTGCTGGCGCCGTTCATCTTCCCTAGTGTTTGCCTTCTCTATTCGCTTGGGTACCGTTTTAATGGTAGGTTGCATATGATGATGCATGTACAATGGCATAAGTTTGTCTGGAATGTGTGTGATGTGCAACTGAGGACTAGCAACAAGAGGGACTTGATGATGGCCGAGTAATAGCGCTGCCTTGGGTTCTAGAACCTTTGGTTGCTGAACAGGACGGCGCACTGGAGGAGAACTGTTTACTGATGCCTCTCTTGATGACACTGCATCTTTTGAGTGGCTTGAGGAAGTTGGAGCAAGTGGTTTTGGGCCTTCAATCAGCAAAACTCTTGGCTATATAAATAACAACAGAATATCGTTTAAAGCCTTACTAATGCCTGTCTAAGAAGCCCATTACCTGGTAAAAGCTAACAAGCAGATTAGCTTAGTTTAAAACTTCACACAGCATAACAAACTGTTTGTTCTAAGCCATTTTCATGTTACCTAACTCTTTAATCATAACACCCTTCATCACATGAGTGAACATTTTCTTGGAAGCAAATTGGCTAGACTAGAGAAACACGTTTTTCAAAATAACCACTTATGAAGTCCAGAGATTTCTCAAATCGCAGCCTAAGTTAGGCTTCCTTTAAATAACCGACCTTAAGGGTCAATGACTAAAAAAATTGTCTTTTCTGATTGGTGCAACTAAGGGATACACACCCAACGGAAAATCACCTTGCATCCTTCAGTACAGACTTAGAGTTAAGCAAACTGGCAAACTTGAAGTAACCTAATTAACTGAGGTTTAACTCTGGAAGAACTGCAAAAGTTCGACAGCCAGTTATATGGCAGTGCCCAACTAAACTTTGCCAATATTCTACAAAAAATCCTAGCTGTGGCTATACATAAAGACTGGACAGATCAAATACAAAAGACAATAAATTATTTTGAAGCGGAAGATTTACATAGTACCTGACGGAACTCACAGTCAACATCTTTGCTGACAACATTTCTTTTTTATCTGACTGAAATGATGACATGATTGGACCTATCATTAGGTCCTTTCTAAAAAGGGATATTATTTTTAGCTCCTGTAATAGCACCATGAGAGTATGACTATGAAAGCAACCCAAAAATCAGTGAATGTTGTGGTTGTTTGCTAAGAAGAGTTGTATGTTTACCTCAACAAGTGGAGACCCTTCTTCTATTAGTGATGGTAAAGCATACAATCCACCAGCATGTTCACCTATGTACAGCGTTGGCCTGGTGGAAAATTGATGGAAAAAAAACAGAACAAAACAAAACAAAATCAACATCATGTGTTATAACATTCTGAAGACTTACAGTTCTGTAATGAAAATTTGCTCATTATTACACTGGGTAGAGTTAACCGCATTACCAAAGTCCAGGGTTCGCAAATACGCCAAATTTGGCGTATTTTACGCCAAAATTGTTCAGATGACTCCACTGAGGTTATGGAGGGAGTCACTTCGACTCCAGAAATTTTCGGTAACATAGTTTTGTCCTTACCTTTTTCGCAACAAATACAATTTACGTTAATTGTAAACGTTGTAAACCTTAATTAAATCATCGAAATTAAAGAATTATACTGCAGGGCAAAACAGGAAGGGGGTAAATTACGATCAAAGTTTACTCGATGACCGCCATCATGGATTTGAGCTTTCCAGGCCAGCGGACCACCACAGCTATTTCGTGTATCCCTCACGATAGTTTATACACGCCCGGACCACATGCTGGAAAGTCTGAATGTGGCTTTTTTCGTTGTGATACTTGACTCCAAATATTTCAAAATGACTCCGAAATTTGTGAAGCAGAAGTCACACTGACTCCACTCAGCAATAAAATTTGCAAACCCTGCAAAGTCTTAAGTAATTTAAATATAGCCTGCACTGTTGGCTTGTTTTTCCAGCAAGCTGTGTTTATACTGTTGCAACCATGCTTGAATTCAATGCAGGGAAAGATTAAGGAGAGGTGAAATTTCAATTAGCGAGGTGGGCATTAGGCTGAAAGGGTGTAGTAGGGGATGGTGTGGGAAAAGTTGACCCTTGCCCCACTTCCCTGACTTATGTGATGCATCCTCCTTCTAATTATTTAGTTCCAACAACAAATTTTTCAGTCCAGTCAAAAAAAGAAGTTGAAATGCTTGTGGGTTTCTTTGGTTTTTGCTTAACTGTTGATTTCAAAGAAGCCACGCCCAAGCAATCCTGTAAATCCACTAAGAGAAGGAGAGGGAAGCAATACTTGTATTAATTAATGGAACAACTTAGTTAATTTTCTGTTCTCCAAAAGTGTTTCTCATCAACAGATTATGACTGTAATTGGGGTGGTACTGGAAATTATAGTACAGAAAATGCCTAAAAGCATAACAACTACTTTAAGTAAAATGCAACTGGGCAGTTTTTCAAGAGACAAATAACAATAAAACTTACTGTAGCACAATCTCTCCTCTGTCACCAAGGAATGTGTTTTCGTGTGATGCACTAGAAGTATTAGCACCAATAAGATGCTTGAGGGTTTCACCTGCGATGTGGTTTAATTTGACTTTTAACAGTGCTTCATTATCCATTCTGTAGATTCCCACCACAGGTGACCCATAGTTCCTGGTCCACAAAATGTCACCTAACAGACATGATATAAAAAGGTTGATCACACATTAAATCTAATATACAACAATAATTATTATTGAAGAAAACATTCACCCAAGCTATGTCAAGTCACTCTTCTAAGTGATGATAAATTTTAATATTATTATTGCTGAAACCTCTGAAACCTTCCATAATAATATTATTATGGTTCAACGTTTAAGCAATAATAATATTAAAATTTATCATCACTGAGAAGAGTGACTTGACATTATTTCCGTTTTACTTATGATAAACTACTCTTGTTATCATCCAGAAGTCAACCATAATCTTTGAATACTTCCCTGGCAAATGCATATAATTATGTATATTACTGTTCACATTGGCTGACAAAGACATTTACATATTTCGCTCACTTACTGTCCCTGAGGAAAATGAGGGACTACTAAACTTGTAGTCTAGCATTCAGAAGATAATTGCAGCAGAACGGTTGCCTGTTGCTATTTGCAGGGCATCCAATACTGTAAAACTTTATCTTTCGTTAATAAATAAATTGTTTTTCAGTTGCTTTGTTGTTTTTTAAAAAATTAGCTAAGAAATAGCAGTCAAGCGCAAAAATATTTTAAATCATACAGTTCTGTACATGTTCAACTATTACTGATGTCTACTATGTTTTAGAACTCACCTGTTGATGCATCCATGGTAACCACAAAGCCATCAGAACTTGAACACATGTGGTGAAGACCTATGGAAAAGAAAAGCTTTGCATAGAAAAGCTGAACTTCACTAGCCTAATCACCAAGACCCTTTGTCCTCTTAATAACATAGAGAGAGAATGACAAAAAGCGGAGGTTTTGAGTGGAACACTCTGATAAAGGGCTAGAGCTCAAAATAACATCTTTTGAATATCATTACAGTGGTACATTTACCTAATCAACTCAGTTGATAAATTCAGTTGGAAGGTATTTCCTATACAGGAGGTATTTTTCAGTACATGTTCTTCAACAAATCTAAAATACCACTGACAGAGACTGATAAAAACAAAACCTTTGTCTTAACCCTTCAATTAAAAAATATTAGACAAATCATAAACCACAATGATAAACTGAAATAATTTTTTTGGCCTAAACATTAAAAGTCAGTATCATACACACAGCACACATACTATAATCTAAATCTTGGGCCAGATGAGAAGAATAGTCATGAAAGGTAGCATTCCATCTGCAACACAAAAGGAAACAAATTACATACAATAATAGCTGGTTCCGATATAGTAGGGGTTAGAATTATTGTTTGAAATTTGGTATCTCTGGGACTTAGATAACTGTCCACAATACAGAGGTGTCTGTATTATAAGGGCAGGAATTGGAACGGGGTGGGGCCCGGGGGGGCGGGGGGTGTACATCAACAAAGTCTTATATGGTGAGGCTCTGCCCTAAGGCCCAACCCCTTACCCTTTTTTACTCTACCATTTTTGCCCAGAAAAGGGACCCATTTTCGTATACCTTCTATTGACAAAAAAATGGTATCCCTTTCATTTCCCTGGTTTAGAACTTTGAGTCCCTTTTAACTGCTGTAAATGCACTGCCTTTAAATATGAATCAATCACCAAACTAGACAATTTTCTTGACTTTTTCACAGCCATAAAATCCTACTGTGGCCCTTTTTGGTCGGTTTACTGACCTTAATGGGAGATTCCCCTGCCCTTTCAAGTATACTTCAATTAGTGAAATCTCTACCCTTTCATTAGAATATACCTGAACCCTGAAAAAGGTACCCCTTTAGGCCTGTATAGGCCATTATAGGGAGTACCCCCCTCCCCCAGGGAATTGGATGGAGTTTGACATCTTTGGGACAGAGAAAATTTTCTGTAATATCAGTAGAGAGGTGTCCAAATGCCAGAGGTGTCAGTAAGGAGAGATTCTCTATCACTTTAACATTCATGAGAAATGCTCTACATGTGTACCTTTTTTCTCTAGTCTTGCTGTCATACATGGTAATAGTATACTCTGCAAAATTAAAGAAAATTGAGAAAATAATGCAGCAAGCTCAGACAGAGAATTCATAGAGATCTTAGTGAAGCTCAGGCAGATAACAGTGGTAGTGATTTTGTTACCCCGCGTCCTGTGTCTCTGACACATAAATATCCCCAAAGATGCAAAATAAGTCATGGCATGCGTCCTGTAAGACATAAAGATTGTTGATCAATCCGAACATGTGTATTTGTAGAAATATCTGGGCTGTTCATGTAATTTCTGTGGCAGTTATTATGGCTGTTGTTTAATGATGCATATTTCTTTCAGCCTTAGTTGTGCCTAAAAATAGAAGACTATATTTTCATTTCAGTATACTGTGATACAGAATTTTGGAGTCTTTCTTCAGATTAACGGTCTGGTTACATAAGGCCCAAGCATTTTCAATTTTGGACTTGTTTTTTTAACTGGCACTCATTGGTTCTGGACTGGGACTCATGATTTTTCACAAGACTAGTCCCAGGACGCACCATACCTATTTGTAACAAAATCACTGCAGTGGATAAATAACTTGAAAGAGATTGATCACATGCCTCAAAGTCAGGAATCATCTAGTGTTGCCTGCCACCCTAGTGCCCCTGAGATGAACATACCTGTTCTTCCAAGAAATACTGGAGCCTTTTTGTTAGACATCATAGGACAGACAGTTTCAGTTCCATCCAGCTTTAATGTCTGCTGTTTAATGCCAGTGTCCAAATCAATGGCATACCACACATCTGTTTTACGACCTGGTGTAAAGAAAATTGACATACATGAGCACTACGTGTACTGGTAAGAAAATAATTTCTAAAAATCAACGGATTTGCCTACTAGCAGATTGTTTGACAGCCAATAAACTAATGCTTTCTGGTCAAAGTTGTAAGTTTAGCCTTTAGGAAATTGCTATCAAACATGGGGGGGGAGAGGCGAGGTCTGGGACCAAGAAACAATGTTCTCACAACTTGCAAAGCGGTCACCCTGCGTGGTGGTCAGTGGATAATTGCAGTATTTTTCCCACAGTAAATATTTTTAGAAGCAAGAAGTGAACCTGCAGAGGAAATCAGAAATGGTTTAAAAATTGAAAAAAAAAAAATCATGCATATTTGTTTTTCTTGCATATCGTATTTGTCTTTCGGTACTGAAATTGTGGGGGAAACTAAAACACAACCGTGTTAGATCTTGACCAACAACAACACGCTCTATCGATTGATAGGTTACATCATTTTTGCCAGGCGAGGACAACATGCTGCTGATAAAAATTACTGGACAGACAGTGTCAAATTTATCGGAAGTAAGTATATTCAAGAGAGCTTTATAAATGTGAGCTTACAGCTCTATATATCATAAATGAATTAACATTCATACTTCATAACATTTCACTTCATTTATTACAATCAGTCAACACCTTGAATTCAAAGTCAAAATTCAAAATGATCCTAATAAACAAATCACAACTACTACTGAAAGCTTCTTGTTTAACAGAAAAAGACAAAAACACACTATGTCTGTAAAGCGACATAAAATCAATAAATTTGCGCATTTCCAAAATATAAAGGCGAGAAACTGTCCATCTTGGACCACCATGTTTTTGTTCCTTCTCAAGACCATTGAACTACGGTGCTTGACGTAATGCGCATGATCAGTACACAAATCCGCTGGGAGGGCCCTTTCTGATCGCTTTGCAAGTTGTGAGAACATCATTTGGTTTTCATTTAAGAGAATGCCCCCCCGGCTATCAAATAAGTAATATTGTGATTCATTGTAGTTGTACATCTGAATTTATTGTGAGTCAACGATTCTCTGACATGCTTCCATATTATTAATATCATTTTGACATATTTATCATATAACCTGTGTAAAGAACTCCGTCTGTGCTTCGACAAGGAGATGCACGCACAAGTTCAGGTATTGTAAAAGGCAGCTTCTAAAATAGAGCAAAAAGATGGAAATTAGTAAAATGTTAATGGAGGAAAATAAAACTAACTAGAATGGATTTTGATTTAGGTGATTTTACTATCGACAAGAGAACGACTGATTTAGTTATTTTACTTTGAATAAAAAATAATATTTTCATAATCATCCCTTACACGTAATAAGCCCTGTAACACTGAACTTTCCTTATCTCATCTTTGTCATCTCACCCGAGAGGGCACTACCCTTTTGGGAAAACTGAGCTGTATATTTTAATCATAATAATGGTAATGTGTGGCTCCAAAAATTATCCATACCTCCCCCACGGAAGGGATTTTTCCTTAGACCCTCCACCTCTCTGGAAATTCCAGTCAAGCTTCATACATTTACTTAAATTATTGTTGGGCCTTTGAGAACTCCCCACCCCCCAGGAATTTCCAATCCCTTCCGTGGGGAGAGTATGGATATTTTCTGGAACTACACAATGAAAATATATACCACCATTACCTTGAGTCCATCATGAGCACTGCCAAAAGCATACAGACTGCCATCTTTGGGATCAGGAATAAATATTGCACTAAGATAAATAAAAATAAATAATTTAGGTCATCTTCTTGCAAATCTACTACATAATAATCAATAGCACATTGTCAATTACTGAAAAATAATAGTTGGTGTATTATGAAAAGAGTTCAAGCCTTTCAAGGAAAGGCCAACAAGCCCATTTTCATTTTAAAGTTAACAAATTCTGGATCAAATGCTAAGAGGATTAGCTTAAGTCTTTCAATAATAACTTTAAAACATAGATGCTATACGATATACTCCAATGAATAAATTAATGCATTAGAGAAGAGTATTTTCAGTAATCCTAGACTTATTTGGTCATGGTCATGAATAAGGATTAAAAAACAAAGGAACTGTGCACATATCTAGGAACTACAAAAACAGAAGAAAACAATTTTTAATGCAATCAATGGTTCTTACCCTGGACGAAGATAAACTGGTGTCTGGATAACAGCATCTGAGACAAAGATATAATTTATGAGGGGGATTTTAACAAAAAAGCTATACAATTTATCATAAAAATATTGTTCTTATTGACAGAGAGCAACAACCTTGACAATGAAATAATACCCATCAAAACTCCATAAATTAAAAGCACCTGTTTTTTATTTCTTACAAATATACACTTAACAAACTTTTCCTATAACTATTTAAAAAACAATAATAATGTCGTTAACAGGAAAAAAAAATTTCATAAGCGAAAAAAATACTTATTGGCCTTTTTCACTTAACGTTTCTGTTGTCAAACAAGGTGCAGAACTGTTGATAGTAATGTGACAACCAAAAGCAACATTTTTAAATGAAATTTGTATGATTGTCATGGTTTGAACAAAATTAATTAAATTGTCAGTGAGCACATTTTGATTGACTTGACCCAAAAGCTTTTTAAACATCTCTTATTCAATGTTATGACGGTGATGGGTTGTGGTTAAGGCTATGTTCTATTCACTCAACACTCACTCACACTTGACAAAACCAGGGGAGAAATTATTTTTATTATCTCTTATGCAATGCAACAGTAGAATATAGATCTGGCCTATTACTAAGAATGGATATTTTTTTCCTTGGCTTACATATCCAAGGACATGGAAATAGGAGATAAAATAATTTAAAATTTATGGCATTTTTTCTACAAATGAGCAACATTTTCAACCTTAATCTACTTATGTTCTGACTTGTGAAATATGCGGGGTCGATTATAAAACATATATAAATAGTGCACAAAATGTTAAAAATCCACAGTTCATGCATATTTTAACAAGATTATTATTTTGTATGTACATACAGCTGTTTTAAAGGTTAACAAACTTCATTAAGTTTGGACCTTTCGGGTTTTTTACACTTTCTCTATCTATCTTATACCCTGTGAGCAGAGGCTCTTTGATCTTCTTAGATAAGTCAACTTATCTAGGAGGATCGAAGGGCCTCTGCTCGCAGGGTATCTATCTTATTGACTCCAAGAGACAGAACAATGCAGGAATAAATGATTTATGGAAACGTACCAAGACAAAAGACACCTGATAAATATGTTGATTGCATCACTTAACTCGCAAAGTACAGACATTCAAAGATCTCCAGCATTTCAAAGAAAATAAAGCATTCAGCGAGACTTGTTCATTGATACAGACGTCATGAAAAAATTATTAAAAATTTGTAAAGACTCTCAAAGGCAAATAAAGTCATTATATATTTCTTTTTATTGTGGTTTATATTCATATGGACCTAACCTACCGATGAAAGATTGGAGAAAAAAAATAAGGCAGGAGAAAAAAGAAGGTTGTCTGGGATCACGACAGACCAGGAAAGTATGCGGTAGCTCTATTCATGGGAGGAAATGAAATAAGATATCAACACTACTAAAATAATAATTCATCGACAAGAAAAATTGATTAAAAGTCAGCGAGTAAGAGCTCGATCTCATAAAATTACTTGAAGATCTTCACAAAATGTCCTTATATCAACTTTTCTTTAGAAACCGCACAAAGTAAACGATAAGGCTTATGCAACTGCATGTTGGTTCTCAACTTCCTCTTTAAGACTTCCTTCCACTATCGAGTTATTCTCTCACCTTCTTTTAGTGACCACTTAATTTCTCCTGTCTGTTTCTTGACGGCATGCATCGTACCATCCAAGGTAGACACAAAAAGAAAGGATTCTGGAACACTTAATGTATGAGACTGCAATATCAAAGAGGAAAGAAAACGATCATGTTTGTTCAAGCTACTTGCTTGATTTGTGAAATGAACAACATGTCCTGATCGATTTTAAAAGTTTACCTCGACAGAGAATACCACTGGAAACAGCAATAGAAACGCTAGAGAAATAGTTAAAACCCTAAACATGGCATAGCAACTCATTTGCCTCTCCTTTGTTATTACAAAACGTGATTAAAATAATCACGAGCCATGTAACTCTGAACTCTTTCACGTAAATACCCGTGTTTCTTTCGTTCGACGCTATTGACGTCCTTGCATTTGATTGGTTAATCAATCACGGCCATATTGGACGTGTTTTAGTGAAAGAGCCTGGGAGCTGTTTCATTTGCCGCTGATTGGTCTTGTTGTGAACAGCGGGCGCGTAAGTTTTAAAGGAAATTCGGCGACCGCGACGCCGCGACAGCAGCAGGGGAAAGCGAAAGTCAGTACTATTCCGTGATTTGTTGCCTCATGGTGATATAATACAAAAACTACACAGAGCATAGATGTGCGTTAAAGTAGTGGACAACAATGAGTAAGAAAAAGCCGCCACCCCGACCACCATTACCACGGTTATCGACCGCGAAAAGTGGGCAGCCAACCGGAGGGGCCCCTGAGAGATCCCTCAGAAATGCATTTGCTTCGATCTCAATTCGTTACAGTAACAGCACAAAAGATTCAGATTCTGAAGAGGAAATTTCCATTGTTCGCAAAGAAAAGGCAAAGGTTCCTGACCAAAGCAGCGAAGGAGAAAACAGGGAAAGCATAGAGGAAGAAGAAGGATTTAAAGTATTGCGGAAAGTTTGTGATGCAGATGGCACTCAGCCACCTTCCAGACCGGCAGAAAGAATACTCGTGGAGACGAATAAAAACCCATCTGAAGCGACCTTAAACGTGGTTAAGAAAAGCTTTTCTAGTGAGGAGCTGAGGGATGCTACAGAGAAAAAAGCAGTGACAAAACAGAGTACGTGGCCGAGTTATTCACGAGTAGACGATGTCGACGCGACGGGTATCATGAAGTTTCTCCGCGGTCGGGAACGCGAACGTGATCAAGAAAACGATGCAAAAAGTGACTTGTCAAAAGAAAGCCTTTCGCTTTCAGAACCCAAGGAAGAAACAGACGCTGGTTCCTTTCCTTCCAAGACACATTTCGATTCAAGTTCAGAAAGTTATCTAAAAGCAAATGAAAAACGTCCAAGATCTCCTTCCCCATTTCGCCTTTTGGCTCGCGATCGACAAAGTGAAAGCTCAAATGCAGGTGATCACGAAAAACCTAAAACTTCGGCTGGTGTTTCCTTGTCCTCACTTTTGGCGAGTATAGGTAAAGAGGAAGCGCATAGCGAAGCTGAAGCGAAAATTTCCGAAACTGAAGAAATTGAAAGCAGTCCTGAGGTTCTTTCGGAGACCCCCGATCCTTCTTCGCTTGAGTTGTCACTCAACTTTTGCCATGACCATTTTGATCAAGAGCCGGTTCTGGGAATTAGAAGTGGGGATACAAGAACGCGGCTTTTATCGCGCCTTGTCACAGACAAATCTCCACAATTTGAAAATTTTTGCCTGTGCTGCCTAATGGTGTATATATATTTTATAACAGAATGGCCTCCTTTCATTTATGGTGTTGTTTTTGGTGCGCTTTTTGCGTATCTCGCGGGGTGCGCCTTTCTGTGGCTCTTCTGTCCAGAGGACACAGTGGCTGAAAGATACGAAAAGGAACTTTTGGAATTCGAGGAGAGGCAAGCGAGAGCGCCTAAGCCCAATTATCAATCAGTTGACCCAGGGTTGCTTTTGAAAAGGCAAAAACAAGAGGCAAGTATTTATTTAATCTATGTTTCGTGACATAAATTATAACATAAAACAAAATCGACATTTCCCGTCGCTGGCCACATGTAGGTCCCAAACAAAAACCTTGGAATATTGCTCAAGCATGCGTGAAACAGAGGGTAAACAGTTGCAATTTGTTTGCCTAGCGTTCGCTTTGAATAGTCGTATGTGATCTTTACCCCTTCATTCTTAATTTTTAATGATATTTGTGTGTAAAAGTAATTAGAGTAATATTCGTTGGATCGGACTGTTGGATTTTTTTACAGTTACAAGTTTATACCCAACGTGATGAGCTTTCTGTAAACACACAAACAATTTGTTATGTTAAGGAGAATATTAAATAAGATATCCTGTAAATTTTCAGCCCTAGCGTCTGCAACAGCCACGGAAAACTAGAAGGATTTGTATGGAAAAAACAACAACAACAACTCTTGCCACTCAGTCATGGTTGAGTGGGGTACCATACAAGTCCTTGTAAATTTTGAAATTTTCAAACAATTCGTTATCTTTCCCGTATGCGTTACATGCCTCAAATTTTGTTTTGTTCCTAACAGAAAATTTGAGGTCCCTTATGCATGAGGGAAAGATTTTATAAGACAGTGAAAATTCAAAATTTACAAGGATTTGTATGGAAAACCACCCAACTGTGACTGACATGGGTGGCAAGAGTTGTTTTTTCCATAAAAATCCTATTTATATTTGGCATCCGTTGCAGTCGCTTCTTTTGAAAATTTACTGGTTACCTAATAATTACACTCTATGCTCTATGCTCTATCAGTTCCTGCTAAAATCATTTTTCCAAAACAAATTGCTTTCATGTTTACAGAAAGTTGATCACATGACCCACTATTGCAAATTCTCAATATGGTATATTGATTGTTTTTGTTCTTCTTATTTAGGGGTGGATGTTCAAGTCACTTAATTATGTTCCTGAGAAGTTTGAGTTCAGCAGTGAGACTGTTCCAGTCTTTGCTTCATTAGAAGGAACAAAGCTAACTCTGTCACATCCGAAGAGTGATGGAACAGGAAAGAAGTTTGACCCCCGAGCAGTGGAGGAGAAAGCAAGTGTGTCCTTCTCAAGACATGAACAGTACGATTTAGCTGGAAGTAAAGTCATGCTTCTTCCTGCAACACTGACAATGAAGAAAGTTTGGACTCGAAAGTGTCCTATTTGTATTGTTCTTGACAAGTCCAATTCAAAATCAGAAGATACGACTGACAATAGCAATAGTTCAGGTGATGAAGGGGATTATGAAGTAATCCACCATTCAGAGCGGCGGGAGTTTGAAGATGTTGGGACTTTATACTTGTTTCCAAGGACTGGTCGAGAAAAGGAAGAGTGGTTTAACCATCTTTGTAAACTTCTACGTAACAACTCGGTGTCTTTTTCAAAGAAAGAAAAGCTCAAATCTCAATGTTCCTATCCTCACTACATGGCCAAACTTGTCCCTCAGCCAGGAAGCACGTCCCCCCATCTGCATACTGAAATTGCATGGGTAAATGCAATTGTTGGGAGAGCCTTCTGGGATGTTTGGCATGACAAATACTGGACTAACAAAGTCAAAGAGCGTTTTGAAAACAAGCTGTCGAAGATGAAGAAACCATCTTTTATTCGTGATATCACTATTTCTGACCTCAACTTGGGACAAAGTCTTCCTGTCATTACAAAGGCTTTCCCTCCTGTGGTAGATAAGCGTGGTACTTGGGTGGATTTGGAGGTGGACTACAAAGGGGGACTGATCTTCACTTTTGAAGGTCATTTAAATATTGAGGGTTATCTCAGTTTTTTTCTTAGTCTTGGTAACAATGAAAATGTGGAACTGGAGATGGCAGAGTTATCAAGAAAGTATGATGCAGTTGAGAAAGACAGTTTTGTAAAAAATGCCGAGGAAAATGCTTCGGAGTCTGAGAGTCCCCCCGACAGTGACTCAGACTTTGAATCACCTGAATCAGACCTTGAGGAATTCACTGTCAAGGCCATGCAGACTCCCCTCAATCTCTCGACCAACAAAGACAAGCCCAAAGATGGACAGCAGAGTGAAAGCTCTGATTCCTTTACATTAAGCAGTTTTGAGGGTGATGAGGAGGTTTTAGAAAGCAAGGACCCTATACTTTCTGGTAATGTGTCTGACACAGAAGGAGATGAAGGTAGTTTGGAGAAGAACACAAAATTGGGAAGACAGAAACTCTCTGAATCTAAGCAAAGCTTAAGTGACGAAGTAACAGAAAAGAGTTCGTCAAATTCAACTGCATTTTCTGAAAAGATGTCAGAGTCTGCACCTTCGAGTCCAATCAAATCATATTTAGGTGTTTCTGCAAAAGGTGGCCCAAAGCACAAGATCTTTAGTGTTATTGAACGTCTGGCCAAGTCCAAATGGGTGAAGAAGGCAGCAGAAACTGGTATTGTCAAAAGAGCTGCTGAAAAGTTTTCAAATCTGCCAATCATTTTGTGTGTAGAGGTACTATCAGTGAAGGGAACTCTTGCATTAAACATCCCTCCACCACCTACAAACAGACTGTGGTAAGTGTACATTATTAACAATTATTTTTATTACTCTTGTAATGATAAAACCTTTTCATTCCTATCTGTCAATAACTTTTGATAACACTAAGCATTAAATGCTCTGAGGTAAGCAGCTCACCTTTTGAGTTAGTGAGAAAGATAAATAATTGCTTTACTCTAACGTGAATATCAAGTGACCTAATGCTAGTTAAACAGAATGCATGAGTGCAGCTGGTAACACAAAACATACTAATAGAACAACAGACACTAAATTTCATAAATCCATTGACTAAGCAAATGTGGCAATGCTGACAGTAGGATGACACAAATAACTCAATAAAAATTATTGCTAAGTACCTGAGATCCATGAACCCTCACCCACAGCACTTAGACCCACCTCTCTGCTCTGTACCGGCAAAATTATACTGATTTATGTCAACTCTGATTATCACAAGTGACTTTAAACTTAATTATACATCTAAAGTTTAGAGTTTTAGTATGATCAATGCTTGGATAGTAACAATGTTTGACATGCTGCACCCTGTCAGTGTTTGTTTTGGCCAGAAGCTAATTATTAAAAAGCTGATGTTTGTTATCATCCTTCTCAAACTCATTAATAATTCATGAAGAAAATACAAAGGAAATTAATGTTTAATGAGTGTTTGGAAATCGGATGAAACACTGCTTAGTATTTGCATCCTTAATTTCTCCTTCAGAAATGATTTTGTTTGAGAAGAAATATCAAACATTCGACACAGTGTTTCATCACCAGATGAAACACCTCGAAGTTCGTCAAAAATACTCCGCTGGGCGTCGTATTTTCAACTCTCTTCTCGGTGTTTCATCTGGTGATGAAACACTGCATCTCATGTTTGATATATTACTTCAGGTATGGTTTTCGTGGAACTCCTTTGCTCTTTGTTTCTGCAAGACCCAAGCTTGGTGATCGCCAGGTTAAACTCACACATGTCACGGAGTGGATTGAGAAGAAGATTAAAAAGGAGTTTAAGGTGAAAGAACGTATTTATTTTATTCCTGTGGTGTTTTTGTTGTTTTTCAATTGAACCTCATACACTGGATAGTCCTTTTGCTTTAAGACCTTCCTGTCTACTCTGCCATTCCAGAGGGGGTATGCAACATGCTTCCTGAAACCCCTTCCCTCTCTTTTACTAAAATGTGATGTCTTGTACCATAATTATTTTAAGTACATAACATTTCCTACTTTTAGACCCAAATGGTCAAAATCTGTTCCCAATTTCTGACTAGAAGGGGTCAAAAACCATACCCTTTGGTGTTGTGTGCCTATATAGCTTACACAAGGAAAACCCCCACCCCTACCCCCTTCAGTAGTTTTATCCCACAGATTGGGTCTGGTGGCAATGCCTCCCCTACCACTAACAAGTTTGAAAGCACACACAAGGCTGATAATATACCTCACTATAACAGCTCTAGTTATAAGCAACTTAGGTTACAGTGTATGTAGTTTCCATTAGGTTTATTCACTTAAAGTGATTTTGCAATGTTGAAAAAATGACATAACCTTTTTTTTCAGAATATGTTTGTACTTCCTAATATGGAAGATTTACCAATCAGGCTCATGAATTCAGGACTTGAAGAGGACTTTCCAGAATGGTGATAAATAAATACATACTTGTTATGCAAATTTGAATTGGTATGACCAACATGACTGTGTATTACAGTGTAGAAGACCATACAGTGGAACGTGAAATAGGAATGGGACAAAATCTTCTGTGAGTTAGTTACTAAGTTTTAGGCAAGTTTCTCCCATGGTTAATAATCTTCCATTAAAAGTTGTTATGTTTGTGAATTCACCATTAATATTTAGATTTAGCTGGTAACTTTTTTTGGTTAATCAGTTATGATTTTCTCCCAACACCCATCAAGTTAATACATGAGATAAAAAATCGATTATTTTGTGTACATAATAAGGTAAGGTAGAGGTAACTTAAATTTTATTATTTTAAGTTCTAAAAAACACCTTGTCTTTGATACATTTCAAACCTATTGCTTGTAAGTAAAGTGAAACGTATATTAAGCAGACCCCATATAATATTTAGCCAACACTTTGTGTTGGTGGCTAGAGTAAGAGCAGGTTTTCATTAAGTTTTAGAGTAGACAGCTTGGATGTAAGAGTAGGCAGCTTGGCTGTCTATTGCTGAAGGCAATTTCAGGTTCTTGCTCTCTCAACTCAACCTTTTTTTTGCCAAAGAGTAGGGTTTAAAAATTAAGTGTTGGTTGCCAACACTTAATGAGAATCTTTAAGGGTGCCATTGGTGCCTGTGTTATGTAGGTTTCACTATGGTTTTAAAATGTGTAACAGTTTGCTTATTATACAACATATGAGGTCAATCAAAGTGAAAAGTTGTTGAAAATTTCTGTAGAGAGTTTCTGAGATCTTAACGTTTAAGAATAATAAGAAATTTCATTCAGGTGGTAGATGTGCTGTTTGTTGATTTTGACTTACTTTCCAGTGCCTTCCATGATAGTGGATTTGAAACTTTCACTGAATGAGTACTTAACTGCAATAATGGCATTTAAAGAGGCCATGTCCAAGGATATTGCATTAGGTCAATTAGTTGCTGAATACATTACCTAGTGCTTTTACCTATACATGTACATGAAATACTCCAGTGAAGTTATGAAGAAGATATCGAACATTCAAATTTCATCAGGGAGCACTAACCATGGTAGGGTTTTGGTGATTTTTGCAGGCATAGTATCAAAACTTGAAAAAGTTGGCCTCATTTTTTCAAGTTTCAGTCCATGTCCATCCTTGCCATCCATAGGAACAAACGACAGGAAACAGTTTTAATGGCTCAGTAATAACAAAACTGATTCATTATTCTTGGAAATTAACTGATGCAAAGTCAAAATGTTTTAGCTAAATCCAAAAAGATGAAATAGTATGGCATGGCCCCTTTAAACTTAATCTTTGTTAGCCTGCGAAAGCATCCGTTCGTCCCCAGTGGCAAAGAGCGAAGGAGAAATAGATGCTTTTGCAGGCTAAATCATTGTCATAATGCATCCTTACTTTACAATGAGTATCAGCATGTTTTAATCATTCCTAACTGCTCATTTTTCTTGATGACAAAGGGGGGACTGCAGTTAATGAGAGAGTAACAGTATAGCTCCTTTCTTATGCATTACACACTAATGTCTTGTTAAATTTGGTCCTTTGCATTTGCCCAGGGCCCCTGTTGTTCAAAAGGCAGACAAGGCTGTCCTCCAGATAAATCACCATCCACTGAATAGCGCAATTGGTTTCCCTAATGATTATCCGTTGGAAAGTGATTTATGCAGTGGATGGCATTATCCAACTTTTGAACAACTGGGGCCAGATTGTTTGTTGTTTTCATATTATAATGTCGTATTTAACAGAATAATGACAGTTCTGAAGAACTGTCGTCCAAGGGAACACTTTGTTATGGTTATCATTAGGATTGCTTGTTTCATCAGCAGCTTTCAATCCAAGACATATCTGGTAAAGCCAGTATTAACATGTACTTTTACTGTTTAACAGTCCACTGTATGATAATGACATATGTCTCGAGGTAGGATTCTATTGGTTTTAGATGGCCTAGGCTAAAGTAAATTGGTAACTTCTTTGAGGTAAAAGGAATCCAGTCCATATAAAATAATATGAGCTATTTCTTTTAGTTATCATTATTAATCCATTTGTTCCAGTGGAACCTCATTTGATGAGATCGCAAGGCTGTCATGAAAAATTGTTAATTTTGTGAATTTCATAGCAGAATTCAATCCTGGACATAAGTGCGTTGGATATGCCCTTTAGTTGGGCCATACATAGTACTCTCTTTCACACTCAGAATCAACAAAATGAATTAAGATACATTTTTTTTTATTTAGTTCCAACTAATAGTTTTACTTTGAGATATTCCATAAATTTCAATTTTGGAAACTATTTTCTTTAAAACTAAATTTAGCTCTCAGGTCAGGTGAAAGAGTACATGTAGTTGTACCAACAAAGGTATTTCTGTCAAGAGATGACTTTAATGTTTCAGTTACATCAATAAGATGTTTACTAAAAGGTGGATTCCACTCAAATTATGATTTGTAATTATTAGAAGTAATGTTTATAAAATTTTTAATTTGATATCACACTTTGTTATTATACTGTTGTGTTGGCAACTTCATACTCTGTGACTGGTCAATGGCCATTATGTGTCAGTACATCAGACAAGCTCATTTCAACCAAAGCTCATTTTACTGCAAAATTCTTTGCATTTGCACTCTTTGTGCATGGGTATTCTTTTCAACTCACTGCCTTGTCAAGCAATTCATTTCATACGCAAAACTTCCCTTTTTACAATTACAACAACAAGGCTTGGTGGTGAAATTTACTTGTGTGACATAAACATGGATACGGGCTGTTTAGTCAACTGTGTTCTGCTGCACAACCCACTAAATTTGAAAGTTGCTTACTAAAATACAGTCAACTCCCTTTATTGCAGACACTGTGGGGACCTCGAGTTAGTGTCCTCATTAGTGAGAGTCCGTAATCGGAGGAGTTTATTTCAGTCAAACGTCTGTAATATATTTTTGCCTGGGATTTAGCTGCCGTCCGTTATAGCGGGGTGTCCGCAAGGCAAGAGTTGACTGTACTACTTTAATTCTCAAATCAATCTAAATTTAGGATGTTTCACCTTAGCTGAAGCCAGAGAAAACAGCCTACATTCTACAGCACCACCACTAGTTCCACCAGGTGATGGAACCAGTAATGGCACCTGTAAACGTTGGATGTTTTCTCCGGCGCTACAAAGATAGAGATTTGTATTGTAAAGAAGATGTAACATTGGTGTAAATGACCAAGGCCTACAAGATTTTCCTTACTTCACTCAGTTAAACCCTTTCACTTCCAAAAGTGGCCAAAGTTAATTAAAATTTCCAAACTTCATTTTGCAAAATGCTGGAAAACAGTACCTGGTAATTATTGTAAGAAAGTATTCTCATAGACGTTTCATTTTGAATGGTCACACCGCAGGATTTTGTCCACCAGACCCTCTGTTTCCCCGCTAGCAGAGCAAGTGTAGAAGGAGAGGAAAGAGAGAGATGTCTGCCAGCCCATGGTGCTTCTTTCAAGTTGCTGCCAACCACATTTCTGGTCAAAACTTAATGGTTTTCAAAACCAGTTTCATTTAATGTCGAATCCATTTGCCTTAACTGCACTCTGGAAATTTTTGAGCCCACAGTTGTTATTGCAAAAACTGGTTCTCTGAGTTGTGTCGCATGTGACAAAGACATTTCTGGTTGTTAATGGTACATGCGTGATAGAAAACACATCAGGGGCAGGCAGAGGTCTCTTTCCTATCAATTTTCTATCAGTTTTCTTTTTGCTAGCAGGGAAACTCTCTATTAACTCTGGGAGTGAAAGGATTATAAACTGAGTAAAAGATCTGTATAAGTTATTCTTGAAACTTGAGAGTATTCTTCAGCTGTAGCATATAAAATATATCATTATATGAAAGGTTATTTTTTAACTTAAGGTTTGGAGTAAATAAAGTATAATATTAAGGTTATTATCTATAGAAATAAATTTTGGTTTTGAATGGGTTGCTTCTTCTATTTACAATAAGGAATACAAGGGTTGATTTTTTTCTGCACTTTATTCATATTAACTTCTGGACTTTAAATAACAAATACACAGCACTAGTAAAAATTGCAAATAAGTGTTACGACTATTATAAAACAGCAACTCAAAGGCTACAACTTAATGCCATAAAGCATGTAACTTGAGATAGTTTGGTTCTAAAAACTGTTCTTTCTAAAGCATTACAACATTCTATAAGGCAAAGAAAGAAAAAGGCATGACAGAGCAAAAGGAATGAAAATTATTCTGTACAAAATCCCACTTTTCTGCATATTTATCTTGTTCTCCTGATATAGTCACTATGTATTTGTCTTATTTGTATACGGCATGAAATAGAGATTTAAAGTCGTCACCTCCAAATTTATTTTTTGCACTGGCTTTGGTGTATAGAACGTGTTGTGTTTGTTCCTAAGGATACAAATTTCTATCTGCCATGGGCTTATTGAAAAGTTTCATTCATTTGAAGGGTGGTGGTAATTTTGAGGAAGTACTATATATCAATATGACTTCGTCCATTAGCCTGAATTTCATCTGTTTTCTTTGAGTTGTTATTACTCCCTCAGTAATGTCGTTATTGAGGGAGTAATAACAACTCAAAGTAATCAGGTGAAATTCAGGCTATTTGTCCATCTATTCACCACTATCTTTGACTACCCAGAACAATATTTTTTGGGTTCTCCTTCCTCTTCCAGTTCTGAGAAACAGTCCATTTCTTGACATTTGCTGCAAATGAAAATGAATGAATGGTCACATATCCTCCTCAGGGCATAGCGGCATACACAGCAACTTGGCACAACGCAGCTCTGTGCTAATCTCTCAGTCCCATCCATGTTGTATCCGAGCCTCTTGTTGATGCAATCTTCCTATCTCCTTCTTGGCTTACCTCATGATCTTTTCCCAGGTACTTGTCCTCCCAGTAAAGCCTTTTCCAAAGGAATCATTCCTGTTTTTATGTCCCAAGAACTTAATAATTTTCTGCCAAATTACAGTGTTCAGCAAACAACCTTCTAGGACTTCAAGTTCATTTCTAATAGAGGCATTCATCCCTCTCTGAGTTCATGTCACACGCAAAATTTTACTGTATCATTTTCGCTTGAATGCAGTGATGTACTTTGCATCACATTGTTTGATTGCCCAGGACTCAAATCATTCTGTACAAGGCTGTTGGTACTAGCCTGCATAGCTGTCAAGATAAGCAGGTGAGTGCTGTAGTTTTTTTGGCGGCGAAGATTGGTAGCAAGTCAAATTTTTCCCTAGTGGCAAGCGAAAATCCCTTTCTGCTTTGCTGCTCTTGCTTCATGTGGCAGCTCCGCTGCCAAGAAAGTAACCCCAGGCACAACAATCCTGCCAGCTACGCAGGCTATGTTGGTACTTGCTCAGAAGACTCCAATCCTACTTGATGCTACATTTAACATGCTCCAGGACGATAAATTTGTAGCTTAACAATTTTTATTTCACAGCTGTGGTCATAGTAAAAAACTTTATCCCTTGGCTTACTTTCTTCACTCCAGCAAATGTTATGCTCACCTGAAGAAAAAAAAGGAAAGAAAAACAACAATAACGATATTCAATTCCATCAACTGTTATTATTGTGGAATAGAAATGAAAAAAAAAAAGATGAATATTAAGCAACTTTGTATTTTTTATCATGTTTCCTCTGTTTCCTGTTGTCAGGCTTTACTCGCATTTCACCTGATAAAACGCACACACCTATACGTTAAACAAACACACCTGTCCATGGTCTTTGGTGATGAGAACAAAAATGTATGGGAAAAAGACAACTGAAGATTTCTTCTATCCCAAATAGGAATTGTCAGGGTTCTCTGTAACCTGAGAAAATAACTGACATTTTGCGATGCTATTACCGATTTCAGTGCAAAATGTCACTACCAAGATTTGGTTAGTGCCTCTGATTGGTTGAAAAAAATTACCAACATGGTACGAACCACTCAGAAGCACAACCCAGATCTGGTAGTGACAAGGCATCAATATGGGATTTCTGCATTCGTTGCTCAGGCATTATTTTGTGGGGAAACCAGTGGTGTTGGTGCAAAATGTCAGCGGTCTTTTCAGGCTAGGTTTTCTGGGAACTCTAACAGCCAGCGAAAATCACTGTCTCATCATCAAAGGGATGATGACTATTGACATTTTGGTGAATTCCCTTTGTTTTCTTCTCATGAAGTACTGGTATATGAAAGTGAAAAGTGTTCTTCATAAATTAGCACTTACCAAGTTGGGTAATAAAGAATTCATATGTTTGAGGATTTCTGATGGTTGACGCTAAGTATGCCACAGGCTTTCCACCCCAGGTGCTACAAGATAATGAACAGATCATAAGAACATCTCAAAAAAACAAAAAAAACAAAAATAATAATCATCATATAAACAAATTACAAAGATAGACATACACTGCCAACAATGATTATTTATGAGAATTATTAACCAACCTTAAAAGAATATGCAAGTTTCTCACAAGAGATGGAATTAAATCAACATCATAAACAACATCTGTTGGAAAAGAAGAAGGCATCTCTTAAAATAGTGAATCAAACACCCCCCTTGAGAGACTGACTTTGAACAACAAATACCAGTTGTAATTATTGTCTAGGTATTTTAGGTATTTTATTTATTTGCCACACAATTACAATAATTACTTAAAGATGCCAAAAGAAAAAAAAAAAATGTAGGAAGAGATGGCGAGGAGGCCTAAAAGAAACTATAGAGCTTATGTTAATTAGGCCTCCTCAATTACAATTTTTCGAAGATGGCATAAAAATTACGGCGACGGGTACAATATAATATCAGGTGAAAAATTAAACTAATCAATATTACGGAAGTTTACATGTACAAATGTTGAATATTAAAAGGCTTTTTCCCAAGATTTTTGTTGAAGTATACTAATAATTATTACAAATAAATGCCTTAAGTGCTCTTTTAAAGGAGAAAGGTGAGGAAGCGTTGATGATGTTGGTGTTTAAGGTGTTGTAAAATTTGGGTCCTTGATAAAAAACGGAAAATTGCTTGGTTCGAGTACGACAGAAAGGCAGACGAAATTTACACGAATTGTTTAGGGCACTCAGTACACCAAGACTTTTTCCAGATGTCTCTGCCACTGACACAAGTCTAGTCTGACAATGCCTGGTCGTAGAAGATTAATCTATGGTAACATGAACAAAATGTGATGAATTTTAAGGTCTCTCTCTACCTCATCTACAGAAATCTCAAAATAGCAATGCCTTCAGTAAAGAGCAATAATTCAAAATTAACGTGTCAACTTTTTCAACCTTTTGTTCTTGTTTTGTATTATTATTTTTTTTTTCTGTGATTTGAATTTTCTATATGGGTGTTAAATTTCAGTTGCTTAAATTTTCATGATGATTTTATATTTATGGGTCTTAAATTTAGTGATTCTTTTACAATCACAAAAAATGCGAGATTAAAAGACCTGCAAAATTAAGTGCCAATAAGGTATTACTTATTTCATGATAGGTCTGTATATATATATATATATATATATATATATATATATAATAACAATGCTTGCGTACCAGCAGCCAGAATGATGTCAATGGCAGAAAATGTCTTAAGGTCACTCTTTGTGAAAGTTTCCCATTCCAATTTGCAAACTTCAACTTGAACACTGCCTGAGTGCCTTCCACAATCCTTGTTTAAGTGCAGACAACTAGCAGATTTTCTTGAATAGCATGCTGTGGTGTTAACAGTCTTACTACTAGACAACCCAAAACCATCACTGGCAATGTTACATGTATCAGCGACAACAGCACATGCTTTACAGTTTGGAAATGCAGGAGACTGGGATTCAAAATCAGATTCATGGTCTTTATTGTTGAAGATGTTGGCCACCTCAGGATGTGCATGAAAAGTTCTTTGATTACTGTCCTTTATTGAACCAGCACAAATGATGCTTGTTTTTCCTGGTTGTGATGTTTCCAAAATGTCATCTGCATTACTTGTGCACACAGTAGACTTGTTACTAAAAGAAGACAATGATGTTTGTTCTTTATAACCAGCTTTAACACTTCGAGCATATCCATTCAGTTCAAGATTGCATTGAAGAGTTTCAAGAACTCTTTCATGGCAGTCAGTAAAGATGTATCGACAAGGTGAACTTGTGGAACAAATGACAAGTCCTGTGAGACCAGTGCCACATCCCAACTCTATGATGTTCCTGGAGCAGTTCAAAATGAAAAAGAAAGCAAAGGTCAAGAACAATATATCCAATTTAAATAATTATTTATGGTTACTAACAGTATAATTCACAACACTACACTTTCTTAATCACAAGGAGAGGTTTTTCAAGTGTCAGGTAAGCGAGAACCAAGCAGTGAATCAACAAGCAAGTGGTTGCTGACTATTTCATAGTTGAGATTGAACAAGAGCATGTTTTGGCATAAAATAACAACTAACAACAAGTTCTTTCTACTTTGCAGAAATTTAAGTTATATTATGGAAGATACAAAATGCCTTAGCTCAAGTTACACTTCTCTTCAGAGTCCAGGGCCTTAGATCCTCCCAGAAGAGGCTCATTTTTTGTTCTTACCAATATACCCCAGAGGTTTTCTAAAGTCCCTTTATATCGAGAAAAATTGTCCCATGTAGAAGGGTCACTTGCCTACCCTAGCTACCCTGGGCAAACAAAATTTTCTACATTTCCTTACAAAACTTGGGGAATGGTTTAAATAAGAAACAAAAAGTTGACAATAATCCTCATACATGTTTGCAACTTGATTGATCATGTTTTTTGTGTAAATAATAATATTGTGGTATAACCACGTATGTTAATTTTTTTGAGTGATTTATATAAGCTGCTTTGCTCT